AACCATGGTCACAAGCCATCTACTACACAGGGTGGTGCCCCAGTGAGCTAAATCGCAAACAGTTGGTTAAGTCCAATTGCACGATGGTTTTTGTTGGTTATATATCTATAGTTAATTCAACACTGGGATTAGAACTGGGATTATAAGTGGGATTATCTATGGTTTATAGGGATTATAACTGGGATTGTCTATGGTTTTCATGGGATTACAACCCAGAAAAATACCTGGAGGGGGCACCACTGTAGGATAAGCACCCGAGAGATGACGTAGGGGCGATTGGGAGGGAGCGATTAGGAGCGATGAGGCTATCCAGGCTATCCATATTCCCCAATTAGGGAGCCAATTGGAGCTACAAATTCTGGGTGGTGGTTGGGAACCATGGAATTGTATGACTTTCCATATATATATATATATATATATATGGGAATTTCATCATTCCAACTGACGAACTCCATCATTTTTCAGAGGAGTAGGCTCAACCACCAACCAGAACTTGATCACCATAAATCACCATAAATCACCATAAATCACCATAAATCACCATAAATCACCATAAATCACCATTGAACACCATAAATCACCACTATTAATTTGAGTTTCCCAAGCACATCATAGTTTAGACGATTCTTTAAGCAACTGGGATGATCCCAACATTGACACCAGCACCAGCGCTTTTTCAGGGACTTGAAGTGACACCTGGTATCCGTTTAAACATGGTGAACTATCCCCCCAGATATGGCCAATTGAATAGGGAACATCTGATGATAAACCATAATGCCATAAGGGCAAAGGTCAATACCTATGATAGCATATTTCTTTTTGAACATCCACAAGCTACCAGCTATTTAATTTGTGGCATGTCTTGGGTTTACTTTAGCATGGTACTCAGGTTTTGATCAATAGCAACTTGGGATTCATTGCGACCCACTTGCGGTTACTATGGTTACAACCAGTGAGAACTTGAGAACTATAAGTATCATCACAACTCCCTAGTGAAATGGGAGGTGTGAAACACCGCTCCATTGGATTGGACGTTTTTGGGTCAAAAAAAAGGTAGCATAACTGTGGCCCTTTGTCTTGTGAGTCAGCACAGCACACTTCAGTCCTTTCAGCACCTTTCAACACCCCCAAAAACTGTTCGTTGCATTGCGACACAGTAAAGGAGGCAGCACGGATCAGTCACATCCATAAATCCCAGCTATTTTGTTCAGGCTATTGATCCATAGCCAAAATATCAGCTTCAAAATGTTGTGGGATATCATGCTTTTCTCGCTGACCGTTGAGTGATGTTTATATGAGACATACCACTGACCCAAAAATTTGATCTGGACGAGTCATAGCGAACATGGTTGACCTCGCCCCATATCTATGACCCTCCGGTGATCGAACATGGCTGGGAAATGCCCTACATGGAGATTCGAATGGGAAAAAATCATCAATCTTGCATGTTCCAGCCACGTTTGATGACACCAGAGGGTAGCTGCTAATTTCCAAGTATGGTTGGTCATATTATTTATATATATATATCCCATTGAGTCCCATCAAACATGCTTTTCCAAAGCTACTTTTCTATGGTTTTCAAACCAATCCATCCGGCGAAATTGGTAACGACCTCCCTGTTCTCCCGAAGCCGAGTAGAGCCAATTGCAGTAGGGCCGAAAAACCATCCCGAAATAGGCCAACATTTCAGGTATATATATATATATATGTTTTTTTTCCTATGTAACTGTTATGATATTCCCATATCAATGGATTGCTGGGAAAATCGACACCGGAAACCCATCAAATTTTCCGAAAAATCTGGATTTGATTTTTCTTTTTCCCAGGTCACGCGCCATTTCTTGGCCATGCCAAAGTGCTGTGGAAGACACGCCGGAGCGTTCCGTTGCGCCGTTTCGGGTGGGACATTTCAAAGCTTGGAGAACTGAGTTAACATGGCCATGGCCGTTGGGTGTATGGATATGTGTTTTCTCAATGAATCTTGGTGTGTACTATTATATGCAATATATATATATGTGTATATATATATATATTTATGTAATATTATTGTACACTTAATCACTTAAGACACCCTGGAGAGGTTGGTGATGCAGCGGCAGTTTTTGCAACGTTTGCTTTCCAAGTTTGCTTGGCCAGAACGAACGATACCCTTTTCCAAGTGGGGCGGGGGTTCGCCAAACGGTGCTGTCTCTGGATGGTATGGTTGACCTAATACGGCACATCTAAATGCAACTGTGCTGGGCGTGTTTCGGTACCTGGATGGTATTTATAATCGTGCTTGCGCAACCAATCGGTGGTAGGCGGAATAAAAGGTGACAGGAATAGGCAGGATGACGGATGATGACGATGTTGTTGGTGACGGTTTTGAGTTGTGTGGTGGGGTGAAGGCAGGCGCAGTATTTACTACATATTTTTCATCTAATTAAGCAGGCAAAACCCTTGCATCCGTGTCCATGGCAAGCTTGTCGTGGCCCTTCTTACATTAAGTGCAACAACATACAAACCCTAAAGGTGTCGTGGCCCTTCTTAATTTAAGTGCAACAACATATAAACCCTAAAGGTGTCGTGGCTCTTCTTACATGAAGTGCCAGAACATATACACCCTAAAGGTGTCGTGCCTCTCCTGACACTAAGTGTAACAAGATATTAACCCTAAAGGTGTCGTGGCTCTTCTTACATTAAGTACAACATATAAACCCTAAAGGTGTCGTGGCCCTTCTTAAATTAAGTGCAACAACATATAGACCCTAAAGGTGTCGTGGCTTTTCTTACATTAAGTGCACCAACGTCAAAACCCTAAAGGTGTCGTGGCTCTTCTTACATTATGTGCAACAACATATAAACCCTAAAGGTGTCGTGGCTCTTCTTACATTAAGTGCATCTAATTACATTGGTATTGTGCACAGTGATCCCGTTTATACCCAAAGTGAGCCCATTTATGCCCCAAGTGAGCCCATTTATCCCCCAAGTGAGCCCATTTATGCCCCAAGTGAGCCCATTTATGCCCCAAGTGAGCCCAATTTATGCCCCAAGTGAACCTCAAAAAATTATGCCCAAAGTGAGCTCGAATTTATGCCCAAAGTGAGCCCCTCGCCTTTCCAAGTGTGCACTTCTTTTGCTTGTGACATTTTGTTTCCTACTGGCCAGTAGGTTGACAATATTTAACTCACTTATTCTGTCGTTCAGCGCATGCGTTTGCGGCTCTTCTTGTTTGTTGCCTACGCCAAAATGGGCTGGTTTCACACTAAAAATAACTTGACATTAGGGGACGGCACATCCAGCAACTGAACATATCTTTATGCAGACACAATTCACAATGCACACTTTTTTTTTAAAAAAATGTACGATCTATGTACCATTTTGGGTTTGTCTGAAAATATTTAGTAGCCCTTTAGTAGCCCTACCCTCTGGTAAACAAACACAGCCATTGAAAATTCTGATTTAGTTCGTGGGTTTTCCCATTAATAGCATGGTGGATCTTTCAAGTTCGTTATTTAAACGTTGACCAGAGGATACCATTTATAGTTGTTGATATCCATCAATAGTGATTAAAATATCTATTTTCTAGTGATTAATGAGATTCATAGGGATATTTCGTAGCCCATTCGTTTTTCTGGCTTCATGGCGAGACCAGGACGACCAACGAGAGTTGGATTTGAAGTGCTGGGCGGTGATCTTAGGCGGGGACGACCAATGAGCTCTGCGGCGCGTCGCGGTGAACACCGAGCCCTGGCAGGTTGATTTACCACAGTTATGGTATAAGAATCCATAATCATGGTATAACTCATATAACAATTATTTTAATAATCAAGGTTGATGATTAGTTCTGGTATAATCAGTTATGGTATACTAATATAATACTAATCCACAAATATTGCTATATTAGTAAAATAATTATTGATATACCATGATTGTAGTCATCTATATGGATCTATACCCTCTGGTAAACGTTTACATAACGAACTGGAAAGATCCACCATGCTACTAAAGGTAAATTCACTGTTTCTATGGCCATTTTCTATAGCTTTTTGTCAGTTTACCAGAGGGTATATTGGGGCTATCATTTGGATATGTTTTTTTTCCAGAAAGTCATGGGTCCCCAAGTCATCACGGGTTTCAATACTAAGTCATGGTCATCCATGACTTCCGATGATCTGGGGGTCCCCCCATTGTAGGACACCTCCATAGTTTTTTGACAGATATCCCAGTGCCAGATGTCATGTTCAAGCTCCATGGTCTACCTGAACCAGTTTTGGGAGAGGGGCCTCAATCTAATTTTCACAGGAATTTACATACCCATTATATTTGGATTTCCATAAAATGGGATGGATGGCCACACCACATATGTTCTGACCATGGCACAAGTGGCTATAAAGCCTACCCATTTGCTGACCTTCCATCCTTCAGTTGGATTGTGGATTGTCCAAGTGTGGCTGAATTCTCGTGCTTGGACAGCTTTGTGGGTAGAACCGCTGAACAACCCTCTGGATTACTGCCGGAAGCAATATCTAATCTTCCCTAAGAATCTTTGGTATCTCCTATGGAGGGGTTCGGACCTCCTAAGGACAACTCAGGACCATGACCTGTGGCTACGAGGGTTTTGGGGATGTGGAGGGGATCTCATGGTTTGATGTGAGATCCCCAGATCTCAGCCTCAGATGGCTCAAGCCAAGTTCATAGGTATTTTATGAGTTAATAAGAGATTGACATACCTATGAAATGGTCATACCTCAGATTGGCAAGAAACAATGGTCATAATTGTTTCGACACCAGTTTGATACATAACAATTAAATCAACTCAACCACCAACCCAACCACCAGCCAGTGATTTGCAACGCTGCGCATGATGTATGCCGCGAGGGCGCGGGTTTCGAGGACTGAGCAGGGCTGAAGTGTGTTGCAAACATTTGCATGGTGAATCAGCCACATTTCGAATGCGCATGTCCCGTAGACATTTTCTTGGGGCTCAACACTTGCATTGGGCAACATAGATCCTACAGATGGCGGGCTTACAGCAGCCATGTCCATTAGATGGGAAGGAAGATGAGTGCAAAGGTACCTCAACAAAGGTTTATTTGTTTGGCATATTACGGCATGTTTGCAACACTTTCATTCTTTTGTGAGACGTAAGTAATGGTGACACGTGTTTAAGTCATTGCTGACTGCCTGAGGTATTGTGCAAACCTACCTCCCTGCCAGCGCTTTCACCGCCTGTTCCACCAACAAGTGGCCTGAGAACAGCCTGTTTCGAGATGTTGATGCGACTAGCGTCTCTTTCGATGACTTGAAACGGTACAAGCCTTTAGTGTTGGCTCTCTATGACCTTTCCCCAATGGGTTACTTGTCCTTGAAATTCATATTTATGATCAGTGTTCAAAAAAACATGTATGATCAGTGTTCAAAAAACATGTATGATCAGCGTTCAAAAAAACAGAAACTCATTCATAGGTTTCTCTGGCAGTTGCAACCCGACATATGCATTGATTGCTCCATCTACGTCTTGTCTTGGCTAGGTGAATTCACCACTGGCTTCTTGGAAAAGGTCTTCCTGAACTTGGATCAGGAATGTGATCATAACCTGAGTCATGGACGGTATATCCGAGACAAGGCGAAGTGGGCAAACACTGAGCCTTTAGTTGAACCAGCTATCACCGATGTATGTTCATTTGAGTTCAAAATTGGAACCCCCAATATAAAATAATTTAATTATAGCTGGTTTACAACATATGATTGCCGGCCACTCTCAGGAAGCATACTGCTTGTTCGGGCTCCTCAGCTATGCAAGGAAGTACTGGCGGAAGAGCTTGTGCAAGAAAAATGCCACACATTTGCATATGGAAGATTGGTTCCTTCCTCTTACAAATTTGCAATAGTGTTCAACTTTTGATGCAACTAATATCACATGATCCGGCTACCATGCACCCAGCCCCAACACCCCTAATTCCTCAGAGTTTCTACCGCTAAGGTGACTGAGATGGCTGGGGAGCTACAAGCAGTCATGGTGAAGAATCCCAAGAAAGCTCGTCACACTTGCACTAGGGAATACCGTCAACTGAGGGCTGAGCAGCCACAAGATAGCGTTGAAGCTTCAGAAGCTGCGACGCCTGTGACGATTGCAGCAGCCGAAACTGCGATGGTATGGGAAATCTCAGATGGAGAGGATGAGCCAAGTGATTCAGGCTTGTATATACGATCTACATGGGTCATAGAACCATCGCATATCAAAACGTTCAATCCCAATGCAACAATCTGGGATATCCGGGGTGCACTGATTTTGGAGGTGAGCATGGCTGCCCAGCACAGTCATCTGCCGCTGCGTCGCATGATGGAGGCACCCTGACTTCTTATAAAAAAAACTGCTTTTGACAGATAGATGCCTTGAATTCAATATTAAACCATGTTTTGGGGCCCAAATGACTTTCGAATTTTGTAGACAAATTTGTTTTGGACAGGTGCCCATACCCATGACGAACTGATGCAGCCTCAACTGGCCAACACAGGCCTGCCTACAATTCATCACTTTGCAAAGTAAAGGTGAGAAACTGTTCACTTCCATTATCAAACAAAATGGGGTTGCGCAACATTGCATAGAAGTGTGGGAGGTCTTGCTGAGAGTGATCACTGCGTTTCTGATGAGTTGAGAGGTCCGGTAACCAGCATCAAGTTATATGTGCCATGCCCCCAACCATGCACCAGCAATCTAGATGTGACCCGTTGACCGGCCAGGTGACTATGAGCAACTGGTGGCAAGTGAGCAGCCTGACTCAGGCCCTACCTCTTTGGCTCATACTTCTATTATGGAAAGCTATGGCTGCACCAAAAGATTGAAACTGCTTGAACATATATAGATATATTATATGTGTGCATGTATGTACACATCTGCTAGCTCTATACCGGTATATAGAGATATAATATATATATATATAGATCCACGTACATGGAAGAACATGCGTTTGAGTGGAGAGTCACTGCCACTACAAGTGATTCTGGGAGGTCTTCCCCAGAGCTTGGACGATGATCAACCATCGAGTTCTCATGATGCAGGCTTCCAGAGCGTTCAGACATGATTGCATGCAATCAAGATTTTTGTTTGTTTCATATGCTGTATTTTAAAAATGTGGAATTAATGGGGAACAACAACGATGTGTTAATCATTTTGCCGCAGCATGCATGCATCGGCAAACCCATAAAAACGTGTTTGCCAGGCCATGAAAATATTGACAAGCTTGGCGACATGGATGTAGTGGGATCCAGTGGTGCCAGTGCCAGCGTCCCAGAGGCACATGACAAGCATGTTCAATCGATCATATATATATATACATATACAGCTAAACCTGTCCACGCCTGGAGGCGCCACCGGCAGCTTCCAAAGACGAAGAGGCAGGGTCTGCCTGGGTAGAGAAAGGTGCTGCAGCATCTTGTTGTTTCTCGCAGGTCGTGGAGATTCCAGATGATGCGTCACTATGTGCATCCACCATTGCACTTGGATCACCATGGGCCGAGGACCTCTTATTTGATGCTTGCAATGCATCGTTTATGACTTATGATTGAACTTATGTATATATGTACATAACAGAACCAATAATATTATATATATATCAAATGATGCTGGCAAGGATGATGACTTCTTTGGCGGTGACGGTGGTGACCATAATGACCAGGCTTGAATTTACCACCTTCACCCCTGCATCTGGGTCTAATTATTTTGTGTCTGCAGTGAAATGCAACTTCATGTCCAGTAGGCTACCGCATAGCTTCACAAGTCAAAAGCCAACCCTGTTGTTAGCAAAGTGTGTGCATGCGTGAGGCTCCGCACCACTGCGAGGAACCTGATTCTGGCCGCGTCAGAAACCTGGTGTTTCAGGGCGAGTGGTATGTATGGAGTTAGCACTACTCATACCAACATACCAACAAGCTGAGGCATTGGGATTTACATGGCCAGATGTAGAATGCTCAATGGCCTTTCCCTTACTGTACTTTCTGCATGGCTAGTCCAGCACAAAAAATCTTCTTATTATAGGGTAAATGAACATGCTGCGATATACTAAGGAACAACCACGGCCGATGGAAGATGAACACATTTCCCCTGCTGATGAGGTGGTCTTGGCACCTTAAGTGAACATAATTTCATCAACCCTCGATTGCAGTTTTTGTCACTATACCATAATGTATGTGTTTTGTTGGCGGCCAGTCTCAAGCTCTTGGAGCTGTTCAAGACGAAGATCTTTCAGTGGGGGGTCTTAGTGGTCTTGGAATCCAGCCACAGCACAAGACAACAATAATTGATATCATAGACCTCTCTGTGATCTCAAAATGGTCAAAAAACATGAAACGCACCATCGTGCCAGGGTTTTATTGGATCTACCTTTTAATCCACGCATGCTCTTAGCACCCTCCCAAGAATTATATATTGGTTGGTGCGTCCCGGTGCCAGCCCAGGTCGGACCTGCGAAGATTGGTGACACACCAGTGTCTGAGATCCTGGAGTCGTTTTGCCGGGGCGAGGCGACGCATGTAATGCATCATTACCTATTGACAAAAGATATGTCAATCAGAAGTTATGCTAGGTTCCACCGGACAACAAAGAGTTGTACAACTTGGTGAAGGACAATTCAACCCCATGGTGTGAAATTGCAAAGAATATCACATCCTTTGACTTACATACATGTGCTGCATAAGAATGACACACGGACATCTATCAATAATAGAATTGGGGGGGCGAAACTCTCAACGGTAATCCAAAACATTGAAGCCTGGGGCCCACAATTTTGAGACAATCCGATATATGTATTTTATTTCACACCTGCATGGCCATACATATATATATATATATATATGTTTATACATGCTCCACGCCAGGACAGCTATGTTGAAGTCTATGAGGCCATGATGAAGAAGAACATCCCCATAGTTCCGAACGGTGTGATGAGCCGGTGTATGGCAGTCATTTCCCAGCATGATTCTGGATCAGTGTCTCCTCAAGCATCATCACCAGGGGACCAGGAGCACCAATTGTTTGCCTGGGAATTCGACAAATTATATAGTGGAACTGTGAGCTCTTCACCAAATAGGATCTATGAGACAATACATACATACATGTGTGTATATACATATGTGTGTGTGTACACATTATATGTATACATGTACACATGTTTGCCGGTCTCAAATTTTGATTAACAACATGTGTGTGTGTGTGATCAGGAGCCCTGCAGCGTGAAGGAGCCGGAGACGTATCGCGGAACTTTGAGGCGCTTGGGTCGCTTCAGCGAAGAGGATATCCCACCAACTCAACTTTCAGATGAGGAAAAACCTGCTTTGAAAGATGTGATGAGAAGCAAGTACAACCCGAATATGGACAGGGAACCTGACTTCATGCGAAGCATGCAGATTCTTGCGTCCACAGAGGACCCGCCCAACTATGCATCTCAGGGTGCTGATGTGGGGCGCACACGGGGCCGAAAGCCAAACAGAAGCAATCCTAAGTCAAAGAAGGTCAGGAGCAAAAAGGGCAAGAAAGGCACAGTGACCAAAGGAAGAAAAGGCAGCAAGGTGAAACATGTCAGAAAGCCAAAGAAAGCTATGAAGAATGTTTCACAGGATGGCAGCCACGACAGTCCCAGCAAGACAAGCAAGCCCAGAAAAAAAAGGGTTGGAAAGTTTGACAAGTTGAACACCCGACCTTGCAAAGGACGCAGCACTGAAACTGGGGCCACACATGAACCTGAACCTTCGGTTGACCAACCGATGCACCATGGACCGCGCAGAGTGCCTCCAGCACACATAACTGCCAACCATGTGTACTCATCGGCATACCGACACAACAAGTCACTTGGGCAAGAGTATGCCAGAGCAGCAGGAAAGCTGGCTGCTGCAACGTTCCGAGACTTAGGGTATGTCGATGACCTATGTGGTGTGTTCCGCATGCAACCACGTTCCAAAGGGAAAGGTGCAGCTGCGGTGGAAGAGGACTGAGGGATCTAGCTCTACATGTCGTGCAGGTGTGTTTTTCAACACGCATAGGGCCAAAGCAAATGATGATTGACGAATCATCTTATAGATGACTTTGGTGGCAGCGACCAGACTCCCGGGAACTCTTTGAAAACAAAAAGACATGCATGCAGCCTCAATATAGCTAATTGCAGTTTGGTGTTCAAACTCAACCACTTGCTTAAATAGTCACTTGTGCACGGGAGTCAGGTCATGTGCTGAAATTTGAAATTCCAATGGCCGGGTTTCTTGCAGCCGCTCGAAGAGAAGCAGCTGTTGTTGGGGGTACGCTGGATGATGGCAAAAATCTGTAGAAAATGAACAATATAGTGTATACCATGACAATGTACTGGTTTAGCATTGAGCACGATTTCTCCAAGCCGTCAGGCTGAGCTTGTGGCATCCGGATCGTAGGAACATAGCATTTGGCTCGACGTGGAAGATCCCAGCCTCAAGTCCCAAGTATGCCACGAAGGAGGGGGGGTGTTGACGGGTATTCTTCTAGACCCACATCTACACTGGGAAACCCAGATGCTAATGATGGGGAACATACCAAAGACCCACAAAATCAAAAACATAAAATATCATAGATCCAGCCATTTTCCTGTTGGTTTGGCACTCCACCAAAAAAAAAAACAACCCACAAAACACGCAGCAAAACCCTAGGAAAAATGCTATTCGGGGGTAGAGTTTTGGTTTTCTTGGGGTGGCAAACCAACAGGAAAATTACAATTCTGAACTGGGAAGGTGGTGTCATGTTTAAAACACACATATGTTTACAGGTGCAAAACTATGTCACAAGATGTTTCCTTATTGGATACCTGAACCCAAGAGTTTGGTGGCATGAGCTGTGGGAACCCATCATTTTTTAAAATTATAAATATTTATATCTATATATATATATATATATGTATATGCACAGCTAAAGGTTAAAGACACAATTCCAATATTGTACAAACAACTATATATACGATATAATATCGATGTATCTAATCAAAATAATCCCATATATCAATGAAATGTTAACTATTTATGAGTCAAGTCAATATATTTGAAAAACATCATAAACAATCAGTGTCGTTGGCTTAGTTGTGTGAACAAAATGGTATTTATATACTATACCGAATGTGGTCTCCTATATAAATAGAATATGCATTTATAGCATTATATATACTGATTATGTACATGCAATATATTTAATAATATATTAATATATTATTTATTTATTTATTTATATATATATATACATATGCATATATTTTATATACAATGCAAAAATGATATATCTTGCCTATCTGACTGCGTCACCACCTTGCCGCAGGAAGGCCCTGGAGATGGATGAGAAAGAGCTTGATGAGCAGCCTCTTGAGCCTTTTGTGCCTATAGGTAGGTTCATTGGGGGCCCAATTCGTACGGGCTACGTTCCTTACAAGCTGTTTGTGATCATGCAGCTCATGAACTTGGTTGCGTGGCTTTGTTTATTTCCAATTTGATGAGGGATGAATGTGTTCAAACCATCAGCATAACATGGTATAGGATCACAGACATATGAAAGAATTGCCAGCATTCTGGCATGTCAAACGGAAGAGGGTTTGGCCACCTCACCACATCATCCAGAAAGTTTCAAACTATGCAGAAAGTTCCAGATTGTTACATATATATACATGAATCGATCATACAAATCACAGTTAACCGTGACAGGCACAACATTACTCATCATGCATACTCTTCTCAGCCCAGGTTTTTCAACCGCCGGCCGAACCATATGTGAACTTGGACATGTTCGCAGGGCAGTGTGCCATTTCACGGGCTTTCCAAGCGCGTGGATACCGAACTTGCTCGCTTGATATCGCCATCGATGAACGTGATGAATCTTATGGTGAATTTAGCTTAACCCCAATGTAGTTTTACTTCCTATGCATATAAATGTTTGGTCCGAGAATCGAATACTGCATGCTATATATATATATAGCATGCAACATGATATAGAGAAAAACATGGTCACCATCATGCCGTTTGTGTCCCATCAGAAGGGTCTATGGTGGATAGCTGAATGGATCTAAGGACATCTGTGAACCTTTGGGGTTCATCCGACACCTCTATGCTGCTATGAACATAGCTCCTGGTGGATTAGCGTTCATTGGTGTGGTATGTTCCAGCTGGGTTGCCCTGAATCGAGGCTTGGCAGAATCTGGGTCTCGCGCTTTGAAGACGAATGTACAGGTCAATCTCCTTCCAAACAAATGTCAGTGTTCATTGGGAACCCAAGTTCATCAGTGTTTCACTACTGGGTGTATCAGCCAATATGTTCTGTGGTCTTGGGTTCCATGTGTTACCATTTGAGGAGGGACGAGTGGACGTTCCCGAGACAATCCATGCGGTCGGGAGAGCCTTGGTTTTTGATTTTATCATATATGCATCTTTCTTGAAGAATCATAAGTTTCAAACATAGACAATGGCAAAGAAATCATTCAGCCTTTCAGCTTCTAGGTTTTGCTGGCGCAATGGGCATTTGAGATTTGTACGTTGAGGCAATTCCCGAGCGTGCAGAAAGCCAATTTAATGCTATCTCGCGTGGGGGGCTTAAATATTGCGATTCAACCAACCCTTCCGGAAAGGTAATGCACCTATCCAATAATTGATATGATATGTATACAATCCATTAGTGTGGGGTCACCGGTACAGGTTGGTTGATTCGCCCTGGCAACTGTGCAGGATCAGATGTTTGCATGCACATGGGGTATCTGAAAGTAGGTAGTCCCAAATACACTATATATTGATGGCAAAAAGACATACCTCATTTTCAGATACACCCACCTAGATAGGTGAAATGACACACGTCAAACCAGCACATACTATCCCTTGACTAGGTAGTGTTGCTCTTGACAGTGATTATGCACCACCGTGGGCACTGGGTCATTGAGAATCCCATTTCGTCTTTGGTCACTAGCTTAGCAATCAGAAAGCTGACTTTGCACAAATACATTCACCACTAGCTTCTATCTACATGTTCATAGTATGTGCATATCTATATCAGGAATGCCAAACGGGTCCTCCTGCCTCTGCCAAGATCGACTATTATCCACGGCTGGAAGAGTTCCTTCGCTACCGAGCACACTTCAAAGTGACAACATGGCTGGGGATGTTTGGTGCAACAACACCCAAGGCAGTTAAGTTGTTTTCTGATGATGGCTTCGTGCAGCACCTTGTTAGGACTGCACAATGGTGGACAGGGGTGTATACAAAAAAAAAAGTGTTTGGAACATCAACATGTGGAATGTTGTAAAGGGGTGTTGTTACCCACCATGAGTTGTGACCAACATTGGGTTATAACAGCTAAAGGGCTCCCACATGATTCAGGGGTCATGACCAGTCATACCTCTAAAACGATGGGCAACCACGTGTCTGTGTTTGTGTTTGGGCTACCATGGACTTTCCTACTCGAATTTGATCATGTCCAAAGTTTGACTTCCTCATCCATTGGTAGCACTGTAATATACTATTTATGCATATCTTACATAATCTTATATATACTCACCATTCATAATATATATATATTATAATATAATATAATATATATATATATCGACTTATAATATGATCAAATGTATAAACGCTGCTGCAGGTTGAGGTTCCACTGTAGTCTACATATACTGCTGTTGGTCAAACTGAAGCAGGAAACTTGATCGAAGCAAGTTTGCACCATCGAACACGACCATTCGATACCGTGATGGAGCTGGGAAGATGCGATACAAAGGGTCATCAACACTGAAGGCGACACAAACATATCCCCGAAACTTCGGTCGCCATGTTGCTAGATTGCGTATAACATATCATGCCTGTAGTGGTGTTGTATATGCAATTGATTTCATAATTTCAATCAAACAAACAAAGTTTATTTCCATTTCCGAACCAAGGTTGCCCTCGCTTGGGACACCTATGCCGTGAGGAACCCTGAGTACTTGCAACTGATCGATTGGGATCCCGATCATTGGGCTGATGCCAAACTTGATTCAGTAGAGGAATGGCTCACCCAATACTTGCGCCACCGCTCCATCGAAATTTGGGAGCCACACTGTTGGAGGTAGGCTTGCACCTGGCCTCAGGCGATGTTGTCCCAATTAGATTTGCACAATACATATGCTTTTAGCTTTTCACAAGAAATTAAAGGTCTCGTGGCACATAGCTGTGGACCAACCAGACGATGAAATGGGGGTCAAAAAAAGTTAATTTCAGGGTCAAGTGGATGCCGTCAGTTGGCGTCGGTTGGCGTCAGATACGGTTGGTGGGGACCTCAAAGCTAGGGGTCTGGAGATCCCAGGCCGTCAGATAGCGTCAGATAGGGTGCATCGGTTGGCGTCGGTTGGCGTCAGATACGGTTGGTGGGGACCTCAAAGCTAGGGGTCTGGAGATCTCGGGGCGTCAGATAGCGTCGGATAGGAATTCACAAAAATAAACAGTATTTTCCAAAGCCATTTGGTTCGATCGTGCACTGGGGGTCACTACAAAAAAGTGGAGAAGGCTGGGAAAAGGGATACTATGAAGCAGGAGCCCATGCATCCACTTGTGTGGCTTCAGACTTAGTGCAAATATATGATTCAAAACAGGTGATATTTGCGAATTTCATTTCGTAAGTCTCCAAATCCAGGAGATCAAGTATTCCCAAGCCACGGCAGCGTACATCAAAGATTTTTTTCAACGTCATCCTGGAGCAGGGGAGGCCATATGGGTGTTTTCTTACAATGTATTGGGGCCCATCTATAAAAAAATGATATGGGACAGCAATGCTGTGCTGAAGGCGTTACCAATGCCCAGCGGCATTATGCCTACGGCCTCTACGGTCACTGCAGAGCCTGTGGATGTCCAGGACAGATAGCGGTGCCAGTTTCCAATGGTTTTTATACCTGTATATCAAAAAGTTTGGGCATCAAAATAGTGAAATGATATATATTGTTTGATTTCGTACATCTCCATGTTTGGACTCCGGCCAGCCCTGGGAAGGATAGCATTAGCACCTGTGATACCTTGCCTGCCACAGACTCGCAACTCTCAGAGGCACCCGGCCGGTTTCAGCCAGCCACCTGCGTAAGACATGTGTTGTTTTGTTTTCATGATGGCCCCATATGTTGACATTCCCTTTTGCATGCATGATGAAACATACAAACTCATGCATGGTCTTGTGAGGCATGGCCACCGTCCCCATACAACTGCATGGACCGAAGGGGTCTGACGCAAGTCCATGAGTCACAACTTTCACTTTGTGAGTGGCTTGTCATGGATTTGGGGGTGGGTCAGTGGTGAGTCCAGTATATGGCGAAAACAAGCCTTTATGTTGCCTTAAATGGTGCATATGGTATGATCAATGGGGATAAACGTGGAAACCGACAAAGTATATGCCTAGCAACCGCCTTCACGGTGATGTATGATGTTTGCGTTGCACATCCCAATCTCCACCCCCCAAGAAATATAATCCAACATACTGTTTGGCATTGGGATGCACATGTGGGTGTTTTTGAAACAATGGATTTTTATGTTGGATGGGTGATTATTTTCGACAACGGGCTAGTACACTAATGTGCAATTCCTTTCTATTTGGTTCTACATCTCAGGACACTGACTCCAGCTGGAGATTCCCAAGCTGACACCCAGCCATCGGTGGCTGCCCTACCATCGCCAGCTAGAACGTTGGTGAAGGCTGTGCCGCCAGTGAAAATGGAACTGGAAAAACCAGGGGATCAACCACTCAAGAAAGCTAGAAGTGAAAGTGTACCCATGACGGCCAAACCATTGGCAGTGAAGGGGGCATCGCCACCACCCAAGGGGTCCCCACTGAGTCCTTGCATGATGACACCACCACCAGCAAAAGCACTTACTGCTGGTGTTTTCACACCAACTCCGCCCAAGAAGCCTATGCCCCCTCCGCCCAAACCATCTAATGCAAAGATGGAACTCCCTGTTCCCAGCATGGCAGCTCGCCTGCTCCCACGGCCTTCCACAAAGGTCGAAAGGCATCTCCTGCCCGAGTTGAACATGGGGCCCTCTACTTCTGCGGAAGTCCCACTTGTGTGTCTTGATGACGATGATGAGGTTGCACCCACACTCCCAGACTATGACGTTGAAAAAGACTTAGAAGAAGAATTTGCCAAGAAGACAGCTGCACCGGAAAGCGCGAATGCACAGACAGCAGCAGCAGCAGCATCAGCAGCATCAGCAAAGACGAAGACACAAGCATGTGCAAAGCCTTTGACAGCAGCCAAGGCCAATGGGGATGCAGCCATCCCTAAGCAGCCTGTTGCAACCGTGCCAAGCATGGCCACCCCTAAGACTGCTCCACCTCAGCAAGGAGTTTATGCCCACGCAGCAGCTTCAGCAGCAACACCTGTGATGACGCCAGCAGCTGAATCAACTTCAGTTCAGATGAAGAAGCAGTGCCATGCCAAGCCAGAAGTCAGCTCTCAAAAAGCACCAGCACAGCCAGGAGCAACGACGATGGTCAGCCCTCAGACAGCACCAGCACTGCCAAAAGCAACGGGACCGGTCACCTCTCAGACAGCACCAGCACTGCCAAAAGCAACGGCACCTGTCACCTCTCAGACAGTACCAGCACTGCCAAAAGCAACGGCACCGCCGGTCACCTCTCAGACAGCACCAGCACAGCCAGGAGCAACGACGACGGTCAGCCCTCAGACAGCACCAGCACTGCCAAAAGCAACGGCACCTGTCACCTCTCAGACAGTACCAGCACTGCCAAAAGCAACGGCACCAGGCACCTCTCAGACAGCACCAGCGCTGCCAAAAGCAACGGCACCGGTTAGCCCTCAGACAGCACAGCCAGAAGAAACGACACCGGTCAGCGCCCAGACAGCACCAGCACTGCCAAAAGCAACGACACCGGTCAGCCCTCAGACAGCACCAGCACAGCCAGAAGCAACGACGGCAGTTAGCAATCAGACAACATCAGCAGAGCCAGCAGAGCCAGCAGCAACAGAAGAGAAGCGCCCTTTGGACGAAATTGTTCGCGCTGAGTTGGAGAAACTGGATGACGATGCGATCAAAAATCGTGTGATGGGTGCCAAGAAACACTGTCGCATGAATGAATATCTCAAGGATGTTGCCTTGGATGAAGATTACCCTTTTGGTGAGAATGATGAGTTTGAGGAGCTGGTGTGTTTTGAAATATGGCTGCGAGAGAGCAAGCCCTGTCCTCAGCCAGCTTTGCCACTGCCGAAAGCAGCGCCTTTGCCAGCACCTGCAGCAGCCGTTGCTCCCCAGGCCAAGGTAGCTGCTGCCCCAAAGGCCCCTCCAACCAGGGATGCCAAATCTACTACCACTTCTGGGCTGGATGTTCGAGTTGAGGGAAGGGTACTTTGGATAAAATCATATACCTGTATACCATCACTGTATGCTTGACAACGCCAAAGACAGTGTTGGAATCATCAGCTTTTGAGCTAAGGCAACTCCAGTGACTTTTGGCGGCTACAAAGAAAGGCAAGCACACTACGCCCAGATGAAGAGGCCAATGGTCATACCAAAACAAACACCGGGTTTGGGTTTCCCTTTTGATGGATCTTTCAATGTGCATATAGTATAGTATAGAATATAATATATATATATATTAAACCAACATATGCCTATATGTACTATATATTCCCTTCTATAGTGCATTTTGTCTATATATATATATATGATATGTGTATTTGCATGTGCAAATCGACATATAAATTTATGTTTCCTCCCTGGTTTGTAGATATGGCCCCAAAAATCAGGAATCATGATATATACACAATTATCCTTCTGCCTCATTCTGCCCAGGCAACTTCAGTCTGATGATCCCCAAGCTGAATTTGGAGTACCAGCGGACATCTTGGATGCTTGGAAACATGCGGTTCAAAGCAAGAGCAGGAATGCGAAGAATGCCTTATTCACTGCATTTCTGAAGTCTGGGAAGAATTGGGGCCAGCTACTTGCTTACAATTTGGTTTCTCCACCACATACCACATACCCTATATATCACAAGTGTGTCAGCATAAAAAAAAAAGGTTTACTCCCGGCCGATAATTCCATCGTGATCCCAGGCTTCGAATCCACCACTCCAGGAGCCGGGCTGAAAGGACCACGGGGCAAACCCAGTATGGTTAAAACCTCAGAACACATGCAGCTGGCAACAAAACATGTTGTCTCAAAATTGCGGCCTCTTAAGGGGGGCGGTGAACACTTAACAAGTGTATATGTATATATATATATAATATACTGCATATGGATATATGTATATTTTTTCGGGCCACAATTCTGATACAAAATTTTACCTTGTATAGACACTTATCCAAATTCTTCTATGTCATGGATTCTTTGGACTTAGGCTGGCGTACCAGGGCCCAGCTCTTGCTCCTTCATGGGAACAATGCTGCAGCGGTTGACTCCATCATCGACCAAAAGATTCAGATGGGGGAGTACAGGGCCCATCCGGACTGTCCAGAGGAGGAGTCAGCAACCCTGTACTATGTCATGGTTGACCTTTCACGTTTGCACGCTGATGAAGTGGAGGAACGCACAGAGATTTCGGCAGATGTGGCTCTGGACTTGGGAAGTGAGGTGGGGTACCTTTAACTTTCAATAATCCATCCCCATGCATAATATTAAATGCACCCTAAATGGTCCCCAATATGCAATTTTTTGCAAAAACCCTGGCACATTATAATGTTATAGGGAGAATGGATTTGCAGATTATTGTACTGGGTGTGTGGCTAAACCTTCTTAATAAATGTTGTGTTCAACATATGTTCAATAAAAAATCTTATGCAAACAGTGTTTTTGATTGACAGGCAGCCATTGAGATTGGCAGCGCCGACCTGTCCCAGAACTTGCTTCACAACACCACGAATGCCCCACGGGTGCTTCAGGCAGATCCCCGTAACAATGTTGGCCGCCCAGGATCGTCAAATGATGGTGAACATGGTGGCCAGGGCTCTGGTTGCACAGTCTCGGGTGCGAAAAATAGCAAGGGAGCCCATAAGGGCAACGGAAATGGTGGGAAGGGCAGCGGGAAGGGCGGCGGAAATGCCGGGAAGGGTGATGGAGAAGATGTGGGTAACAAGCGAAGGAAGAATCTTGATTCGAGATGAATTATACTATGTGCCATGGTCAAACATACTGCATGTAATACTTGTGCTTAAAAAACTTGGTTAGAACATCCACCATCCACCAATATGGGCATACAGGATTTGACCATGGCACAAATATGATCATATGCGTTGTTTGCCTTTTATCCCCATAATTATGTTATAGGTGGTTCCATCAAGATAGGCGCTGTGTTGTTCTGTGGCAAACCCTCAATATCAACGCCCCATCAGTACGTTTTGTCAACCAAGGACCAATGAAATGCCTGAGGAACCTATCCCAGCCACTGTGTGGTTGCTATCCAAGCTTACTACCGACCTGCAAAGTGCAAAGATGTGGCCAGTCAAACTTCAAGGTGTTAAGCACCAGGAGGCCCTGAGTACTTTGGCCCAATCATATAATCATATGCCATGATGATAAAAAGCAATGGATTTCTTTTACCCGATCAAAAGCGTTATATATAATTGTTGTGACCCAGGCAAATCGATGTCTGCCCATGCGGATGAGCTTGAGAAGTCCTACTTCCAGTTGTCTGGCTACCTCGCCCAGGAAAATCTGGGGGTTCCGGCAGGATAGCAGTGGCCAGTGAAAAGATTGCCAGCCCCAGTAAAATCCCAAACCTTGGTTGGCTTAGGGATGGCTGTGGTGGCATCAAGAATCCAATGCGGGGAAGATATAGATATACATTGCGCATATTGATATACATAATATATATGTATAGGCATATATATATAGATATATCTATAGATGTGCAAAATAGTTTATAATAAAATAAAGCTTCAAAAAACATAAAATATCATGGTAGGGGCAGTGTTCAAAAGAACTCATATTTGCATTTCAATAGTCAATGCCCTTCATGCAACCATATGTATCAGCTATACGCATATAGAAACAATCCAAGCTATACATGAAAATACGTTTTCGATTGACACTCTCAAAGTCCTTTTCATGGTATTTCAAAAACCATTTGGGTCATAGAAGTTTTTCATTGATAATTTCAAAACCTTTCCAAGTTACTTGAAAAACCATTTCGAATCCTATCATCAATTTTGATAACCCTAGCTTTTTAGACCCTTCCAAGTTCCATGAGTCTTTATGACCCCAGATTTATAGCAACCATGTCTCAAGATCCATTACCAGTAGTCGATTGTTACAGGACCCTACCATGGTGGATGTCACGGCCCTGAATGCTGCTAACACGTTGGCGCAGCAGCGAATGACCATGTTTAAGGAGGACAATGCCACTGCCAGCAAAGTTACCAAAAAACCGGTGACCAAGGGCAAGGGCGATGGTGCAACTCAGGCCCTCGTATTGGGTTTAAACATTGATTAGATTTATGCATTACCATAGTATCATCTTAGCCAATGAAATATTTGATGTAAAAAGGGACCCCCAAATGGTAATGTTTAGAATGACGGGTTTTACGGGTTGATTTATCCTATGACTTGTCCCCTTCATGTCATCTTTGATCTCCACATTTTCTCTTTTGACAACGTACTGTCAATCACACTTGTTTGTGCAAACCCGCGGGTAGCTACGTACCAATATATATGATCATTATTAATGACCGGGTAAATAAATAAATATATATATATTGTGGTATCTTGGATTTAGTTTGACCTATTGATATGCAATGTCGTAAACCCAAAAATAAATCATTCCCCGAATCACTAAAAGTTTTGAGTTTGGGATGGGTGGGATTTTCACCATTCCCAAACTTTTATGGCATTGGGTATAGTGCCCTCTAGTAACACCACCAAATTGTTTCCCTTTATAAACAAAGAAACACATTCAGATATACCCAGATGCCGTCTCTCCCAAGCTCTGCCCTGATGAGGCTGCGGGCGATGGCACTCCTGCACGCCGTGTGCGTGGCAAGTCCACAGTGTGAAATGGATGTTGGAGCATGATCGAGTTTTGCTGAAAACTTGGTCCAATGAGATCATATGGGGTTAGCTGAGTTAGCCTTTTAAAGGCTGCTGGGGAATGGTGCGTGCAGAACATGCATCCCTTTCGCATCCTATAGATGGATGTTACAGAAGCAAGAGCGACACACGTGTGTTTGAAGCTTTCAGAACATGGCCAAAAAATAGAATGTCTGTGTGCGCAGTGTGCGTTTGAATTTTCAATCTCTAAGCCACGCAATGTATGCAATCTATGCATCCACATGCAGAAGGAACAACATTTGAAACTATGGCCATTTTTACAATGCCAACATTTTCCCATGCAGGACATGGCTTTCACCTGAGGGCTTCACAAAACAAGGAGCCCAACCTTGTGGAACAGCTTGGGTACCAAGTGTCTATTTGTACTAGGTGGGAGTTTCGATTTGATTTGTTTCCTTCCCCAAGGGTGGCCTGCAAATCCAACTTCAGGAGCAGCGACCATTGCCATCTCAGCCTGAGCAGCTGCTGCCATACGAGCCCCCACATGTCTTGGCTGGGAGGGCTCGGGCGAGGTCAAAGGTTGAGCCGCCAGAATTTTCTGAACTACTAGTGGACAATTTTGCATCCGGCGCATCGAGTGGTGCCAAGGTGCTTGACCTACATCCACCATCACTATTTTTTATGGTTCTTTTGATGATGATAGGGCATCACTGTCATCAAATGCTATATGGATCCACGTTTGGAATTTTAAAATCACGTTGGGCCCAAGGGAAAACACGACCTCACCATCAGATAAGGGACTCCCATTTATACCCAATAAATCATGCTATTATCAATAGAATGCATATGGGAAGAAAAAATGTATGCACATGTATATTATAAATATAGATGTTCAAACACACTCTCATAGTCTCATAACAAAATGTTTTCATCCTTTCCCTGCAGGTGCAAGCAACAGCTTCTTCTGCAGTCAAGTGGTGCTTGAAAAAAGGTGGGCATGTTGACGCTGATGATATGGTTTCCAAAATAGCGAATCTTGGAACTGAAGGCCGTCATAAGGCAAACATTGAACGAGATTTCCATACACTGTTGAGATCATTTAGCCGTCGCCTGGGCGCTAAGCTATCAACCGTGCGGGCAAGGACAATGGTTCATGCAAAAAATGTGTTATATAATTTTATGTATTATATATATATATCTGTCTCTCTCTCTCTCAGAAATTGGAGAAATACACAGTGTTTCGACAAATATTAGATTCATTAAATTAGTGTGGGGTGTTGTTGACAAACCCTTTCAGGATGTACAATCACAAAACCGCCAGCATTGAGTGGCAAAGCGTACCAGTACTATTTCCTGATGATCTTGCCACTGCACTCTACAAACGTGGTGAAAATGTTTTCCAACATTGCATGATGGGCAAAGTTGATGCTGCAAAGTATTGGGGCCATTGCTCCCAAAACGATTCATGGTTCAGTACCCATCCCATGAAACACTACCCGCGGCTTGACCGGTTGATTCCTTTCAGCTTGTATGGTGACGATGTGCAATGTTACAAAAACAGTGAAATTGGCACTGTCTCAATCATCGGCTGGACATCAGACTTCGCTTTCAACAACAAGTCACTGACGCGGTATTTTCCAATTTGCGTATATTCTGAGCATTGCAGCACTGAATACACCCATGAAGATATCATGGTAGCAGTGACAGAGCGTATTCGATCCATGGTCGATCCTGAGGAAATACAAGAATGGTCCTCTACAGGGTGGGCATTCATTTTCAGCAATGTCCAAGGTGATCTCAAATGGATCCGCGACCAATATGGGATTTTCAATTTTTCTGCCAATGATTGCTGTTCTCTTTGTGGGGCCGTGAAAGATCACGATGATCCTTCGATGACAATAGCAGATTTCAGGCCAACAGCTAGTCATGTTGGAAGTTCGCCAGACTTGGGCAGGTTCAGTGCTTCGCCTTCTGTTGTCTTTACTTCGCTTGGCATTGGTCCAGACCGCGTAGTCCATGACAGCATGCATGGGCAACTTCTTGGAACTGGAAAAGTTTCAAATGGATCTGGTATTGTGTACCTTGCTGAGTCTGGTTTTTGGAATCCTTTCCAAACCTCTGGAACATACCCTGATGCGCTTCAGTATTCCTTACAGCTGGCTCACAAAGATTTTCTTGCCTGGAAAAAAAAATTGGGTCTCAGTGTTTCACAACCACGCTTTACATGCGCAAGGTTGTCTAGAAAGGGTCGGCAAAATTATGCTTCCCTGTCTTGCAAAGCAGCTCCATCCAAAGCGATTGCCATGTGGGTGGCAGAGCGGGCAGTTCAACATGCACAGCGCGATGGGGCCACTGAGATGGATCAGCTGGTTGCAACCTGTCTGAAAAGCTACTCTCTTTCATTGGAGTTGATGGACAGTGCCGACTTGATCATGACAGACTTGGAAGCGGAAAGGTTTTTTGATTTGACGCTGATGCACCTACAGACCTTTGCTTTGCTGAACAAAAGGTCGCGAGCTTTGGTTGGGCGACAAGCAGTTGGCAAAAATTTGTGGCTGCTACTACCGAAGCACCACCATCTATTCCATTGCGCATTGAAGGTCGAGAAGGAGAAAATCAACCCCAGGGCAGCTGCCCTATTTTCTGGCGAAGATTTTGTTGGAAGGATATCCCGGATTGCACGAGTTTGCCATAGATCTACTGTGTCAGAGCGTGTGTTGCTGCGCTATTTGGCGCTTTTGCACATTCATCTAGACCGCTTGGACAGGTAAAAAGAAGGAATCAACCGGTCAGCCAGGGATTAAAAGAGAATTGTATCAATTAAACGTTACCCCTATTTAACCACCACCTTTCTCGGTTAACATATCTGGGCATCCCGACCACATTCACCTAGGAACCTTGTGAATGCACAGCCATTTTCTTGAGCCAAGATACTGGCCGTGCTTGGGATCTGCTGGCGAGATCCCGGATGCTACCCTGGAATCTCATGATATAACCCCGAGATCCCTAGTAGATTACGACATCCCAGCGACGTCCCCGATCCTTTGGGTTGGAACCATTTGGAATTCCCGAACGGGACGTGCTATACAGATCGTAACATGTGATACATACATATATATATATATTATGTATAATATATATATATATGTATGTATATATATATATATATATTAATCATGTATATATATATATATTAATCATGTATATATATATATACAGTATAAATATACTATATATATACAGTATATATACTATATATATACATTATATATATACAGTAGATATATATTATATACAGTATATATATATTATACATACAGTATATATATATATTACATATATATATATATTACATATACATATACATACAATAAATAAATATATATATATTTACATATATATATGATTTTATACACATAATGCAACTATATAAGCAAGAATCCGGATTGAGCCAATCAAAAACTGGGATCGCAAGCTTTTTGATTTCCATTGGGAAGTTGCTGCAAAGTCCACGTTTCAAAGTCCACCATTTCAGTGTCAAGGACAGGAGGATGAACGTCCACAGCTTGTAGCTGTTGTGAACGGAAGGGTACCATATTTTTGACTCAGAGATAGATGAAAGCCCAATATATGGTACTAAAATATGGTGACTCAAGCTAAAAATATGGTACTCATAGATGAAACTAACTTGTTTTGGCGCACCAAGCACTTCGAGTTTTCCATAGTTTTTCAAAGAACTTTCCAAGTCGTGCTGCTGGAGCAGCACCCATGAATCTTGTGTCTTTCAATTTGGGTCAGAGTCACAACTGCGAAACTATGTCGAACCGTCGCAGGCCATATCACTGGTTTTGCTTCGATCTCTGCTTGGTGTGACACATAAATGGCTGGAAGTGGGTGCGCAGATAGTGCAGGTAGCAGCTTTGCAGCTAGTTTTCATCACCGGAAGCGTTAGATGTTGGGGTAACGACCTAACCTCAGTTGTAACCTAGTCATGACCTAATCCAGCTGATGGCCAGATTTTTTCTCCCAGTGGTTTCCACAGGAAAACCCTGCAGGAAAACCCAATGAATTTCAATGAATTTAAGGGGTAAACAAAAATACCTGCTTTCCGTCAAAAAGATAACAAACACTCTTTGAATCATGGCAAAGGATGCCGTTTGAAGCCGACCTCTCCGGCTTCAGTTCTGGATATCCCTGGTTCTGATGGTGCGGTTTTGATGAAATATCCCTGGTGACTCTAGTGAAGTCTATGTGTGGATTATTGAAAGCTAGATGAAAGTAGTGACAATTATATCATAAAAACTAGGGATTAGTCTTTCCTATAATACCTCCCCAAATAAAAGCACGAGTTGCACACCTTAACATCTTGAAACACCTTTCCTATCTGTTTTGGTTTGTTTTGATACTTTCAGACCTGGTGTTGATTAAGAACAACCACATATCATATATAATTATATAATCACTGCATATAATCTCATATACATATGTTTCTGATATCATATGATGTATATATATATATATACGTATATAATTATAAATTATAGACATAATATCTGGGTCAACTTTGGTTAGATACTTTAGTGCTTTAATCTGTTGCCATCAATGGCAACATGTACTAACCAGCCAAAAAATAGATTTTTGACAGGTATTTGAGATTCACCATGATGTACATGTTACATATGTATAATATATATATATATGTACACACAGTATCTCATATATATATATTATCTCTATGTATAGTCTATAAATATATATATATATAATCTCTCTCTCTATATCTATATCTATTTCTATTTCTATATCTATCTCTATCTCTGTCTATACATATATATGTATATATATATATACACATATATATATATATATTATGACAGAAGCTTCGCAGCGGCCATTTCGAGTTGGCCGTGGCTGGCGCTCGTCTTAGGTCGCAGCTCCAGGCCCATCTTGGTGGCTCAGTGTTGATCCTTCCCATGGCGTGGCGAGCTTAGCATAGGGATTTCATGGGGATAGGATGGCTTAATTCATGGGGTAATGATGGTTAATCATGATTAATCATGGTTAATAATCACTGGTTGGTGGCTGGGAACCATGGTTGTAGATGATTATAGATGATGATAGATGATTATGGACTGGTTGGTGGTTGGGAACCATGGAATTTTATGACTTTCCCATCATATTGGGAATACTTTGATCATCCCAATTGACGAACTCCGTCATTTTTAAAGATGGTTAAAGCCACCAACCAGATAGGGATTTCATGGGGATATGGGGCGATCTCATGAGGGTCAAACAGCAGCTAGGTGTTCGGTTTTCCCCTGATGTTGTGAAAGTAGAGATTTGGCATAACAGATGAGTGGCTGGTAGAGAAATTGGACAACCATTCGTGGAGAACCCAAAAATAGACTGGGCAAACTTGATTTCAAGGATATGTTTTTTTTTACCCTTTTCAAGATGTGGAATATCATTCGGAGTGGTTCTCCCTAGGAAACAACCAGCATCAATCCGCAAAAAAATGTGTTTTGGCCAGTTGTTTTGGCGGGCGCTGGATTCCCGTTTCGGCAGGTAGTCGGCGTATTGACCCATCCTGTACCCTCTGGTTTTTACATAGCTGTACAAAATCACCATGCTATGAGTGGGTAAATCAACTATTTCAATGGCAATTTTCAATAGCTATGTAACAAATTACCAGATGGTAGATCTAATATCATAGAGGTACTGAAATCGGTGCCCCCCAAAGGTAACTCCCCAAAGAATGGGGGCTTAATAAGCTCCTAGGGGAAGAAATCGGTGGTAGGGTGACCTCGAACTTCGATATTTGGTGGTCAAAAAACCAGGGTTTCTAGTTAAGATTCTTAAGATGTTTCTCTTTTTCGCTTCAACCAATCCTCCCAGAGAAACTATTTCCAAACACACCCATCCATTTCTTCCGTAGATTTAGACACTTGCTCAAGCACGTAGCATTTGAGTCTCCCAGGTTCTTTTCTCTCTGGGCCTTGTTCCGCGTGACGGACTGCGCGGGTCATGCGGCTGAATTCAACACAGGTGAGAATCAATGGCAGTTTTTGGCCAACGTACGTGACATGGAAGATATCTATCTGATTTTTCTTTTGCAGGGCATATCATAAGAGCCCGAGACACCCAAAATCGCAAGGAATCTGGTGGGGAGTGAAGGCAAACGATGCATGTTACATTGGAAACCAGCGCCAAATGACTTTCAAACCAGCGCCAAATGACTTTCAGGCATGGTCAATTCAAGGGCCCCACTTGGCCGTGGTTCCCACCGGGAATCTGCGGCACAACTCGCCTTTGTCACAGAGATGTTGGGGTTTCAAATGCGAGCTGCAAAACATGAAAATTCGGGTTGCAACATCCATTCCCTTCTGGTTGTTGGTAACTCAGTGATAAGTTTCCAGTTTCAATACCAAGCCTCGATTGACTGTTGTATTCTCAGATATTCTCTGTTCGCAGCTATATGATTATGTAATCACAACTTTGAAAGCCGCTAAAATCAGCTTGGCTTTGTCAATCATCTTCTTTTTACTTTCCCTTTCATCCATGGGGGAAATTCGATAGGATGATTATACTGAATATGGGTCTGTCTGAACATAGCCCGAAAAAATCCTTATGATAGTACCAAGTATAGTACCATGGGTTATTATCTGTAGAATATTTCTCAATAAAACCCCCATATTTTCCCCATCAAATTGCCACAGGAGGGGACAAAGTTTCGGGCGAATCTGCAATTCAGTTCTAACATCCAGAATCCCTTTTGGGTGTGAAGGCTGTGTTGGTTCTTGGTTCATGTTTAACGTTTAACTATAGATTCATATAGATTCATCTTGCTTATAAATCACCATGAAGCTGGTAATCTAGCTGGTAATCTAGCTGGTAATCTAGCTGGTAATCTAGCTGGTAATCTAGCTGGTATAAGTATTCCATAGTATTCCATTTACCTATCGTTTGGGTATATTATGGATTTTATCTATGTAGAAACGAAGCTATTAAGTAAAGTTACTTTTTCCATATTCCATACCTGTCGTTTAGTTTACCTATGATTTATCGAGAAACTGAAGATGGAAGGTGATCGATTGATCGATTAGTTATTTGATTCCCATGGGATGTTCAAAACCCATTGACCCTCTGGTAACTTAACATAGCTTAGCTATTGAAAATGGTGACTTATTAGTTCGTTGATTTACCCATTAAAAGCATGGTGTTTTTCCATTGTTATGTAAACGATTACCAGAGGGTACCAGCCAAAATTGAGATTGACCATGAACAAAAGGAAATCCTGCATATATAATCATATATATATATGTATACACAATATGAATCTATATTTCAGTATTGGTTCATAATTTTAAATGACCATCATGAAAAAACTTGACTAATGATCATCAACCTATCCTGTAAAAATTTGGAATTCCCTTCTCGTCCATGACCTCAAAATCCCCCATGAAAACCACAGGGCCACAGGGATAACGATTTTGGTTTCTGTGCGTTTATGACTGGGCTAAGCGTTGAGATTGAACTAGTTGCCACCATGGAATAGTATGGAATACTTGAAAACATCTTGAACTTGTCAGAAAAGGTCACCTCAAATAGCTCAAAATTGGGCTCAAATATCTTGAATCAATGGCAATTTCAGGAACCTAAATCCGAGGTACCTACCATATGTAAGGCCTATTTTTTAGCCTGAATTTCAGGAAATATCCCCACAAAATATGGTCTTGTATGGTACTAACGTACCTCTATTTTAGGATCCTTTTTTATTCTCATTGATTGAATGAAACATTTGCATGGGGTAACATAAGGCAACCCACATTTCACCCGGGGCTTGGGCCGCCATGATCTCCCTGGCAGGACATGGTCCGCGAATGGGTCTCCCTGGCAGATGATGGCGTCAAGGCGACCAACAAAAAACCATCACGTCATCACGACTGGATGACTGGGGGTACCCCTATGAAAAAAATCGGAAATCTCCATATATCACCCTGAATGCAGATACTTGATACATGGTGATACATGGTGATACACTACTTCAAGCACTGAAAATTATCTGTATCACCACCACAATTTGAATAGACCTACTTGAATTGTGGTGATACAGATACTTTTCAGTGCTGGATTGCTGAGTTAAAGCCCCCTTGAAAAGGGTGATGTTGAATGGAAGAAATATAGAAGGATCCCCGGGAACTTGAACATCGAACATCAGGTTGCTATGTGTGATATCGCAGTGTTGGCTATGTATATACACATCTACATATATGCATTTTTTTCCCACGAACTATTCCCATACAATCTTTGGCTTCATTGTTCTTATTGTGCAGTCCCCCTCATGATGAAACTGCAATTCTTGATGGTTGAGTCCATCATTTCTAACATTTAATCCCTTTTTTTTGACAGCAAAGCCGCTGCGCAATTTTCTGCTGGTTTTTCCATCCCTTCATCCTCGGACCCCCATCAAGTATCAGCCAGGGTGTTTTCCATCCGAATGGTGTTTACTGGTTGGAAAAGATTACTGGAATAGATGGTTCGAAATGATGGTTAGAAATACCAACTTACGAACTATACTACTTGATGGGCCATCAAGTAGTATAGTTCGTAAGTTGGTATTTCTAACGCCAGTTCTAGCTGGACTAATAGACCCTAATTGCCCTACTGCCCTAGCTGGGTCTCCACTTGCCAACAGGGAGGTTTCATTTTCCATAGATGACATTCACTTATTCTCCCATTATATCCATCTGAATATCCATCTGAATATCCATCTGAATCCCTATTGCTGAAACGGTTGAAACCTCCATTTACGGCTGGTTTTGGCGATCAAACTCTCCCATTTTTCAACGTAGGACAAGATGGAAGAAGCCTGGGACGAGGCTACCGAGGACACCAGTTGGGTCCAGTTATGGCCACGCAACGAGTCATAACTCCTGTAACTAGTTGGGTGGTGAAACATATCACTTAAACAAATTATCCCGGCAAGAGACCCCAAACAGTGTGCATTTAGGATTCTAAAGGGAAAGGTGGAAGAACCTAATATTATCAGTGGCTGCAAGCTAGCAGGACAAGAGCGACCCTAGTAGTGAAAAGAAGAGATACCAGGTAAAATTCTGCAAGTTCCCTTTGTGAAGATCTCTGTAGAAGATTGTGCGCAAGATCTCCTTGACAGGTTCTCTGTAGAAGCTGCTGTGCAAGATCCCTGTGTAAGGGTATCTGTACAAGGTGTCTATAGGAGATCTCCATAGAAGATCTTTGTAAGGGACTTCAAAGTAAGATCTCTGTTCAAGCTATCTAAAAATGATCTCCGAGCAAGACCTCTGCTCTCTTCACCAGGTCTCTGTACAAGATCACCAAAAGAGGTCTCCTGGCAAGATCTCTGTACAAGATCTCTATAAGAGCACTCTCTGTACAGATCTCCATAAGAGGCCTCTTGGCAAGACCTCTGGACAAGATATCTATAAGAGATCTCTTGGCAAGATCTCCTTTGTGAACTGTGCTGTCATGTTGCGTGCTGCTTTGAGGATGTGGCGGGCTGATGGTGCAACATGATGTTTGATCCTTGGTGGGCGCGCCGCCATGCTTCAAGCTGCATCCCTTTCTTTGGTTTACTTTAAGGTTGTCTCCTGCGACTTTGTGAACCCACCGAAAGCAACCTATGTAAGGAACCAAATGCTTTTTTCATGGTTTTCTGGAAAAATGTTTCTACTTAACGGCCGGAACGCAATTTTTTGCAGTTGCGCATCACCAACATCGACAGGCATGGCCCGTGACCTCACGTTCTAGCGGCGGCAGACCGTATACGATTTAGATTGATCTCATTGCCGGCATTTAAGAGCACCCTTCAAACTACTGGCGCCGATGTCTCATGCAGAAGCAACGCACACAAGAAAGATCATCCAGCTGGCGGTTGGGAAGGGATGTGTCATGCACTGAGAAGCGACGTGACTGGCGAAATCCGCCGAATGCTTCTGGTGCCCCTTTTGCCGGACCTCCTCGCCGAGAGCTACGTCCGCAGAATTCGGACGAAGAGCTTCGGTCTGCAGAGAAACGACGGCGAATAGCACAGTTGCAACTGGAAGCCAAACAGTTGGAGATGAGGGCTGCAGGCAAAACCCCCGAGCTTTCCGTGCTCACCGACCAAGAGGCGGCTTACTTTGGAAGCTGCTCCGTTTCATCGGTGGAAGCTTACTTTAGAAGCATATATAAGAGCTATACTGTAAAAACATACATTTTTCAAACCATGCATAGTACTTTTCTATTATAATATTCTGAATACTTCTATGTCTGTGATCCTCAAACTTTTTATTGTTCTAGTTTTAGTGCTCTATGACTCTATGATTCTTTTGTTCCCCAAACACTGTGTTCCCATCATTATCATCATCATCCTCAACAATTTTTCGTTTTCTTTTGAGAATATATATATATATATTTAAACTCTAAGTTTCGATCTATATGTTTTTATTGTTCTAGTTTCAGTTTCTAGTTTTGATTTATTGGCCATAAATAAAGAGCGAACAATACCAAAAACAAATTGTTCTATTTGTTGTACTAATTAGTGAACAATAGCAAAAAAAATATCAGTGAAAAGAACAAAATTGTACTACTATTGTACTACTTATTGAAATATTAATAATAAAATTTCAATCAAACAATATCAAACAAATATTGTACTCCTTCGTTTTTTTGGGTCTCTAGCGATGAAGTTGGCAGGAGACGGAAGACGACGTCATGGCCCTGACGTTGTCCTTCCTGGTGGTGCAGTGCGCCCGCTGTGGGATTGGTGTTTTTTCATGGGGATTTCGCCAGATTTAACCATCAAAAATAGGGATTTTCACCATATGGGTAAATTATAACGACCTCACTGTTCTCCCTCACTGGAATCATGGTTAATAAGGGAAATCATCCCCAAATGGCCGAACTATTCAGGTTAGTGAAATATTCTGATTTACCCAGATATATACATATGTACGCAGTATATAACTATCAAAAATAGGGATGTAGCCACCAAATATGGGTTTTACCCCAACAAATGGATGAAAAATGCGAAGAAACATTGGAAACATCGGAAAAATCATTGGTTTGAATAGCTAAACTATCTGAAATCTGGGCAACCATAGTGTAATCTGTAGATGGGAATTTTGATTTTTGATCGAACAAAATCCGGTTGAGATGGGAAATTGACCATTTACGACCACCATTTCTATCGGTTACCTGGACTTATGGAATTGGGAACATGTGATCAATTTTTGGTTTTACTTTTATAATAAACATATATTCGTTGTTGCCACCTCACAATGGTTGAGTACACTCAGCCTAGGCATGGCATCGATAACAGCTGGGGCAATCCTTTCAAAATGGGTGTAACATCTGATTTTGTAATGATTGTATTCCGCTCAAAAATCAGATGGAAAAATCACAGTGTCACCACATTTTGTTAGGAACATTATATATTTCATGTTTGTGAAGGATGATAGATAGGGCGCACAGAGGATTCCCGCAAAAATGCCAACCGGATTTCTTGAACCCAATCGTGTCACCAATGTCACAGGTTTCTAGGTTTCTGAAGTCATGGGGGTACTCCCGTATCCAACTTAGAACATTTTAGTACTGAAACATATTGAAAGCCAGGGTGCCGACTGGGGTCATTTTCCATGGGTCCTGTGGGTCCAATGGGTCCAGGACGTTTCGCTTCTGGATCTACGGCGTGTTGCCAGACGAGGAGGGCAATTTGGACAACCGCCAGATCGATCCAAGCCTTGTTCAGGCGGGGCGCAGGAGCGGCAAAATCGTTGTGTATTTTTTTTTGGAATTTCGGGCAAATCCAACATTTGGATGTCGGGAAAAGGTATCAAAAATATGGTATGGATATATTATATATGATACATTGAGGAGACGAACTTATATGTTTATGAACCCAACCACTTAGAAAAAAAACATCTTTGCAGGGTATCCATTAATTATTGGTTGTGGTATTTTCGCTGTGACATGACATAATGAAAAGAATACGTGACCGTGTTGATCGTTGGGTACCTGAAAGTGCCATTATTGAATCACCTTATCCGAAAAGAACATCATCTTCCGAAACATCCAAAAACCATTCGTTTCGGTGTGCATGAGCATCCCGAAAAAAAACATCCTGCTGTGTGGCTCGCCAGTGTACCCTAGGGCGCTTTGGGATGATGCCTAGCACTGTCCCCAAGTCCTGCCCTGCGATCCTCGCTGTTTCCAATTTGCTCATCTCGGCTGTCCCTTCGTCCACCGTTCTGGAGTGTTCTTGCAACTATTGTCCCATCGGGATTTACCCAGTACAGATATTACCATTTGATTATTTAACATAGCCATGGAAAATCACAATTTTTAATAGGTAAACCATCTATTTCTATGGGCCATGGCTTCCATGGCGAACTGTTAAATAACCAGAGGGTAATATGATTGGATCTTTTCGTATGACATGTTGATACACATGATACCAATACTGGTTGGTGGTTTCAAACATGTTTTTATTTTCCACATTATATGGGATGTCATCCTTCCCAACTGACTTTCACTCCATCATTTTTTCAGAGGGGTAGGCGAAAAACCACCAACCAGAATATGATTAACCATCATTAACCATATCACAACCATATCATAACCATTAATATTAACCATTATTAACCAGAATATGATTCATGTTTTTTCCCCGGCAGTAAATTCAACCTGAACGAATTTGGAACATCGAATCATTTCATCATTGGAGACCTGACGATGGTCATTTTACATCATCCCAGTGGAGATTTAGCAAAATGAACCAACCATGAACTTATCTCATAAAAATTCCCCGATTTTATCCCATTTTCTGATCCTTAAAACATAGAAATGAATAGAAATGAAGAATACTTTTCATCAATATTCTATTCATTTCTATTCCCTTTCCAACGGCGTTGATTTTCTTCGTTGACTCACAACGGGAAGAGTTTTGGAAGACGCCGGCGAGGCCTTCGTCTCTTTGGGTGTTGGGATGCTGCGACTTGGCGATCGATTGGGAAGAGAAACATATTTTTCGTGGCGAAGATCAATGGATTTTTCGTGGATTTATGGATTGTTAATGGATTATGAATGGATTGTGAATGGATTATAGACTATAGATTGTTATTATGAATAGTTATTATTCTATATTGCTTGGTTACAGATGATTATGAATAGTTATTTCCTATTTACAGATGATTCCTCTACCTAACATTACCCAACCAATCCCAACCATATCTAAAAGAATCAAAGTTTCCATAACATTCCAAAAAATGCATGACCATGTTTGATTAGAACCTCTTGGGGGCGCAATTCCACTAATAAGTGGCTTATATCAGTTTTTATTATACCCATGGTTGTAGGGTTTATCCATCTCATGGAGGTCAAAATCCCATAGTTATAGCTGCACTCGCCATCCGGGCCAAGGATTGCGCTGCTGTCGTACCTGCGCACCATCTACGGTTCTAGGCCGGGGGATACTTCCGGTCCAACTCGTAAAGTTCCACGGGGTAGTCGGATTTGGATGGCACACATGGGAATTTCACATGTGATGTAAGCACAGAAAGGCCGGTTTTTTTCAGCAGCTGGCGTCATCAATGATGGTTACATGGGGAGGCACCCCAAAAACAGCCAATTTCAGCCAGATGTCCCGCATGGATCGAACTATAGTTGGGGGATTTTCCGGAGGAGAATCTCCAACCAACATTTACCAAGTTGGTTATAAAAGTATTTGCAGTAAAAGTTTTATAACTCGCATACACCCCATATACATACATGCATACATACATACATACATACATACATTTATACATTTACACATACACACATATACACATACACATATTTATACCTTTACATATTAATATACCTTTACATATACATACACTCATATATATATATACATATACATATTTACATATATATATATACATACATATACATAATACATATACATATATACATAGATACATAGATACATAGATACATAGATACATAGATACATATATATACATATATACATTTATACATATATACATACATACATACATACATACATACATACATACATACATACATACATACATACATACATACATACACACACATACATACACACATATGCACATACACATATATATATACCTTTACATATTAATATACCTTTACATATACATACACTCATATATATATATATACATACATATTTACATATATATATATATACACATACATATTTACATATATATATACATAAATATACATAATACATTTACATATATACATATACATATATATACATATATACATATATACATATATACATATATACATATATACATATACATAATACATTTACATACAGGGTGGGGTCGGTTTGGTTCGGTTTCGGTTTCTAGGAATTGGTTGATTTTCGGCTCTCTGTTTGGTTTGGTTCGTGGTAAAATAACAAGTAAATCGATTCGGTTGTGTTCGGTTTTTCATTTGCACTATTTTTGCTTTTTCTAAGGGGTGAGAAAAGCAAGAAAACACCTTCTGGGGTGGCGTCAAGCTGCCATATAATATATGCCAGGAGAATTGGGTTGGTTGAAGGATATAATTAAAGCAGCAGTTGCTGGATCGGTTGTAAGGGTCATGCGCACCCGCCAGTACTGCAGAAATGGAAGAGATGGTTCGCAAATCTCTGCAAACCCGCACAGGTCCAAGCCTGCCAGATTGCCTGCGCTTTCGGGGGCCCGCCTGCCTACCGCATTAGCGTCTACTCCGGTGATGGCATCGATGGCTTGCAAGCAACCCTGGGCCACATCTGCAACTTCACGATCTGGCACTCCTCGGCTCCAACTCGCGCGTGCACATACACAAAATGCCCCCTAACATGCACCCTACCACAGCGCCAACCACGCCAGGCATGCAGCGACGACGCCCTGCCCTGCTGCCACTGACTGTCACTGATCCCTGGTCTGGTACCAGAACACAACTGGTGAGGTTGGCAGCCAGGTTGAAGGAGGGGAAATGGAGAAACACTTCAGGAGGGGCAGGGAGATCAGACACAGAAAATCCATGTTTGGAAGGTGGGGTGATCACAATTCTGCAGAGGGTTGGAAAGCCTTGGAGTGGGACAAGCTTCGTTCTGTCCCAGAGGGTCAGTAGACCCTTTGCTGCATTGGTTGCAAATGGTTCAATTTCAAATGGTTCAAGCAAATGGTTCTAGTAATTCAATTTGGTTCAAATGGCCCAAATACCATTTGCATCAGTTTGTGCCATTCAATTTTTTTCCAACCTCCTGTGCCATTTCAGCCAGCTTAGACCATTTGGATCATTTGGGGGAATTGAAATATTGGCAGCATTTGAACCACTTGGCCCATTTGAACCCATTTGAACCAAATGTTGTTCAATTTAATTGATTGAACCATTTGAACCAAGTCAATTTTTTGAACCATTTGAAGCTGCTTCTTAGTTGAACACAATGTGATGATATGTGGTGGCCAGTGATGAAATGTGATACCAGGTAGTGGCAACATATCTTCTGGCATTCTTTCTGGCATATCTTTTGACATTCTTTGTGGCATATCTTCTGACATTATTTCTGTCATATCTTCTGACATTCTTTGTGGCATATCTTCTGACACTCTTCGTGGCATATCTTCTGACATTCTTTCTGGCATATCTTTTGACAGTCTTTCTGGCATGCTATCTGGAATTCTATCTGGCATATCTTTTGACATTCTTTGTGGCATATCTTCTGACATTCTTTGTGGCATATCTTCTGACATTCTTTATGGCATATCTTCTGACATTCTTTTTGGCATATCTTCTGACATTCTTTGTGGCATATCTTCTGACATTCTTTGTGGCATATCTTCTGACATTCTTTGTGGCATATCTTCTGACATTCTTTGTGGCATAGCTTCTGGCATTCTTTGTGGCATATCTTCTGACATTCTTTGTGGCATATCTTCTGACATTCTTTCTGGCATTTTATCTGGCATATCTTCTGACATTCTTTGTGGCATATCTTCTGACATTCTTTGTGGCATATCTTCTGACATTCTTTGTGGCATAGCTTCTGGCATTCTTTCTGGCATGCTATCTGGAATTCTATCTGGCATATCTTTTGACATTCTATCTGGCATATCTTCTGACATTCTTTGTGGCATATCTTCTGACACTCTTCGTGGCATATCTTCTGACATTCTTTCTGGCATATCTTTTGACAGTCTTTCTGGCATGCTATCTGGAATTCTATCTGGCATATCTTTTGACATTCTTTGTGGCATATCTTCTGACATTCTTTGTGGCATATCTTCTGACATTCTTTGTGGCATATCTTCTGACATTCTTTGTGTCATATCTTCTGACATTCTTTGTGGCATATCTTCTGACATTCTCTCTAGCATATCTTCTGACATTCTTTGTGGCATAGCTTCTGGCATTCTTTCTGGCATATCTTCTGACATTCTTTGTGGCATATCTTCTGACATTCTTTCTGGCATATCTTCTGGCATTCTATCTGGCATATCTTCTGACATGTTTTTTGAAGTTTCCCTCAGGATAGCTGGGGTTGAACAGTTTCCCTCAGGATAGCTGGAGTTGAACAGTTTTGCTTTTTTTTCTCTCAGGATAGCTGGAGTTGAACAGTTTCCCTCAGGATAGCTGGAGTTGAACAGGTTTTTTTTGGAGGATAGCTGGAGCTGAGCAGTTTTATCAGGTGCAGATCTTGGTGGTAGTAGCAAATAGTCAAATGAGAATTTTGTGGCTGAAGTGCAGAAGGGTTCCATGTGAACAGCAATTGGACATGGGTTGGTCGATCCTAAGTCTCAAACTTTAAATGGGTAAGATCCACAGTGGTTGCTTCACACATTTTTTTGGGGGGGATAGCTGGAGTTGAACAGTTTTATCGAGGTCGTGCAGGCGGTGCAGGTGGTACTGATGACGACGCGGAGGAAGCACACCATGAATTGTAATCCACCAGCTTGCAGTCCAAGAAAAAAAGACAAGTAGTCACTCATAAAAGATGAGTTCGGTAATATGTGGGGGTCGCCCTCCATCAATTGTTTGGAAACCACTTTCGGCAGTTTCCACACATGTTGTGAAAGGGGATGTGGCAAAGATTCAGCTAAAGACAATTGGTGCGGGCACTCCCATCCCGAGCGCGGTACAGCTGAGCAGAATCTTCCCTTCACGGAAGAAACTGGCCTTCAAGGCCCAAAAACGATGAGCTTTTCAAGGCTACAAGCCGGATTGGCTCGAACGTTGGTCAACAAAAAGGCGGTAGATAACCAGATTTCTGCACTCGTCATTGTTGTTTGATTTCATGCAGCTGCTTGCCAGTTGACGTGTCGACTGGACACAGTTTTTTTTGGGGGGATAGCTGGAGTTGAACAGTTTTATCAGGTGCAGTTTTGGCTACGCCAGGTCAATCTGCGGGGCTGCCCTTGTCCGCTCTCCTTTGATTCACTTGGGTGGCAACTGACACTGTACCGTCGTGGACTGCAACAGGAATACCCATTTAACCTGGCTCATGCTGGATCGGATACCCATTTTATAAAAGTTGTTTAGCTTTGTAAACCCTATCATCACTGTTGGTGTGTTGGATTGGGGGCCAAGTGGTCAACTGAAGAAAATTTATTTGATGGCCGAACCTCCAAGTGGTTCTCCAAGCTGTTCGCCTGCCATGCCTGTACCTCTGGCGACTGAGGTGGAAACCCAGGAACCCAGCTTGGAAAAAAAAATGCGGATGTGAAACATGATTCTGCTGGGGCACTGCTTGACCACAAAGATATCATAGAGGCCACAAAGGCAGCATGAGCCAAAACAGTCTGGGAATTCAGGCTCTTATCAAAAAAAATATAAATTCCAATAATTATTGCCGTTTCAGTGAGGCACCCGGTTACTGAGGTGGAAACCCAGGAACCCAGCTTGGAAAAAAAAAATGCGGATGTGAAACATGATTCTGCTGGGGCACTGCTTGACCACAAAGATATCATAGAGGCCACAAAGGCAGCATGAGCCAAAACAGTCTGGGAATTCAGGCTCTTATCAAAAAAAATATAAATTCCAATAATTATTGCCGTTTCAGTGAGGCACCCGGTTCTTGTGAAAACCGCTGCAGTTTTAAAGCACCACTTGGAGGATGCAGGTATATTTTTAAGTCTCAAGTCACATCACTCATCATAGCACATCCCTCCATAGCACATCCCAATGATTTTTAGGGCTTAGGATATTTCCGGTCGCGTGTTACCAGGTCAGGGCACGTGATCGGGGGTGCATGGTGCAACTGACCAGGGAGCAGGCGGATAGGGGCCGGGGGGGCCTAAAGGGGCATACGTCCCAGGGTTATGGTTTCTTGCGAACGTAGAATGGTCCGCCGGATCTAGTTACTGTATGGGGTCACCAACAACAAAAGGAAATGATTGATTATGAAGTAAGAATCCGCTGAAAAGGGTAAAGGAGTTCAGTGACTTCGGGTCTTTTGTGTTTCAATGAGTTGACGTTCGGATCCCTTTTTGAATTCGCTGGCTTTACAGCTGTTCTGGTATCCTCCGAAAATAATGGATTCAAAGGGCTTTGTAATGTTACCCTTTGTGTTTGTTCCAGCTTCCGGGGTTTGGTCCAATCCAGCGGGTTCACGGCATGTCACCACATGAAGCACATCGCAGCTTTTGGCTAATTGGTTTGTTTTCGCCTTGCGCCATTTTTTCTCGTCGTTCTCAGTATGAACACCTTTGCTCTTGTCGTGTCCAGCAGCATTTCATTGCTGCAAATGCTGGAGCCGAGGGCCCTCTGAGGGTCGAGAAGTCTTTTTTTTTAAGTTGTTGTTTACAGGACACAGCTTTAAAGTTAGTTTCAGAAATGTTTTTCTTCTGGTTGTGAAGTCAACCCTGTTTGCGGTTGCTCTCGGGCATCGTAGGCTTCAGGGGCCGTTTTGGTTCCTGGCCAGGCTAGGTTTTTTCAACCTGCCGCACGATGCTGTGCCTTGGCGTTTTTGATGATGCTTTTTTATATGGTTTTGTTTGGTTGGGTCTTTTCTTTTTGTTACAAGGGGATATGTATGGATCATCCCTGCATCCAGTTGTAAGCATTTCGATTCCAATACGTTACTATGCATAATGATTGGTGCTGATAATGTTTCCATAAGATTGGTACCTTTTTTTGGGGGGGGGTTCTTTTGGATTACGGGTTTTTGAAAGTATAGCTATTCTGAGGTCAGAGTTGCCACGTGGTATGGTTCAACCTGGCTGGAGGAGCGAGCATCTTGGGTCAGTTTTCGTGCCGAGACGCGGCTTGGGGCATGGGCCTATGCTGCAGCGGAGGATTTCCTTCGCCTGCACCTGCGCGAGGGGCGCAGGTGGCAGGTCCAGCTTCCGTTTCATGGCACTGAATTCCGGCAGTTGCAGCTGCTGCGATACACATGCCAATGTGATGCGAGGAGTCACTGGGCTGTGAAGCCGTGAGAGGAAAAATGGTGATTCACTGGTTGCTGCTGCGGTTCTGACACACCGGTTCGCCCGGTTCGGGCTTCATGTATAAATCATTTAGGTTCCGGTTCGGTTCGGTTGGCGGTTCGTGCGTTTCCATGGTGGTTTCCGGTTGGTGCGGTTCAATTCGCGGTTCGCGGTTTGGTTTGCGAACCTTACTGTACATACATATATATATATATATACATTTACAAATACATGTACATACATAAATACATATATACATAAATACATATACAAATATACATATACATGTACATGTACATAGACTCATACATATACATATACATTTACATATACATATACATATATATATATCAATATACATGTACATTTTACAAATACACATATACACATATACACATATACACATATACATATACATATGCGTATGCATATATATATATTTATATATCAATATACATGTACATTTTACAAATACACATATACACATATACACATATACATATACATATGCGTATGCATATATATATATAAATGAATCTAAGTATAAATATAATATATGTACATATATTCACATATATTTACATATATACATATATACATATACATATATTCATTTACATATACATGTACACATGTAAATAAATACATATATATATATACATATACATATACATACACATATTCATATACATACGCGAATTCATTGACATATACATATTTTTAAATCTATATATACATACATGTACAAATACATATATTTGTATATATGCATATTCGTTTGCATATACATATGCAAATATAAGTTTATTTATATATAGATATAGATATGCACCTCCGATACTTAAGTCTGTTAGTTTTTCACCATCTCTGATTGATTTTTTGCTCTTCCTGGTGGGGCCGATGCTGCGGGTTTCCCATCATTTCCCATCCCTCGTTGGGGTCTTTCCGAAATGGGGGGGTTGGTTGAATCTGTTCATCTTAAACAGCATAAAAGGTCCCTAGGTACCCCAAAATAGATGGTTTATGGGTGTTTATTCCCCAAACTATGGTAGTAATGTGGTTAAAACAAAGTCATAAACTACAAAAATGACAGGGAATGGTAAACATACCACCTATAAAAATTTGGTGATGACTGGGGGATGGTTTATTATTGTTTTAACCGCATTAATCATTTCAAATCCCCAGTCAAACTTTGCTGGGGGATGCAACACAAATAGCTTGCCAGGGGGATGATTGCTTAGATATGAATTGGCAACGACGGTAAGGACATTTTGGTTGTTGAATTTGAAGGGCTGTAGTCACTGTGGTCCCACGAAGCGGCCGTTGGCTGTGTGTGACATGGTTTCTGTAGCCTTGTTCGGTGAATTCAGGGATGGAGAATGTGTATAGGAATGTGCCCATTTATGGATATGAGATACGCATGCACACACACATGTGTATATATAAATATATGTATATATGTATATATGTATATATATATGGTAAAAAAAAACTCTATGTATATATTTATATGTATATATATATAAATATAAATATATATGTGTATGTATAAATATATGTATATTTATAAATATATATATGTATATATATATATATGTATATATATATATATGCATATATATATGTATGCACATATATATATGCAGAAGTATATGTATACATGCATATTTATATATGTAGAAGTATATGTATATATGTATATATACAGATATTCATTTGTATATCTAAATATATATACATATACATATGTATGTATATTTACATATGTATATATATACATATATGTATACATACATATATATAAATATGTGTAAAGATGTATACTTATGCATATATGTGTAATTTTTTGCATATATACGTATATATGTCTATATGTATGGTTTTGTATATACATATTTAAATGTATATATATATATTTTTAACTATGTATATGTATATATATATATACATATATATATATATACATGCATTTTACAGTTATACACATGTATACACATCTTTTGGATAAGTGCCCAAAGCTAGTAAATCCAAATCTTTGTATTTCCATTTCTTGCTTAATAAAAATCCAGCAACAATATCGTTTTATTTGAAATATAATCCAGCTATTACATTATAGTTTCCATTATATATATATATATATACATACCTATTATACAAAACCAGTGAGCTTTTGGTGAATTAAAATGCAATACTCCTGGGGTTTTCTTACATTGGGGATCCCCAAAAGCATGGGTGCCAAAATGCTCTCATGTTGGATGATTTGGTGTACCCCCATGACTTAGGAAACCTCCATACATCGCATATTTCTAAATGGAGATTCCATATTATATGAGACACTATATCACCATATATGGCATACAATCACCACATAGTTATCATATATGGCATATGTTCATTGAGTGATTATGGCACCATCACTCAGCACAACGGCATTCCAAACCATACATTATATGGCAATAGTCACACAACCACCACGTAATCACCACACAATCACCACATAATCACCACAGAATCACCATATAATAATCAACATATAATCACCGTTACTCACCCAAAAACGTCTCATGTGTCTCGCGCAGTAAGCATAGCCGCTACAGCGTTTGGCTGCGTTTGGCCCGGGAACCCAACTGGGCTGTGTCATGGGTCAATTGTGGTGCAGATATGTATATATATATATATATACACATACATATTTTAACGTATAATGTGCATATTACACACACATATATATATACATATATATATACACATATTTATATACATGTTCATTATATTTCATTGTTTTCGTTTTGTCTATTTATTCATTTGTTTTGGAATTATCTCTTTATCTACTTATTTATTACGAGGGGAGTACAGCAGCTGTTTATACCACCACTTTGTTGATAATTGATTCACTTCAAAATACTTCTTCAATTATTCTTCAGATTTGACATTTGTTGTACATCCGAAAAAATGTGCGATGTATTGCCATATGCTCCTGTCTGGGTATGGGAATTTCTCTGACCTGCTTCCCTGATGATCATTGCAGTACCTCCTGGAATACAGGGTTTCAAAGACCTTCTGGTGCCTGTCATAGAAGTAATTTGCGTTCTTTCTGTGCAAAAACATGATAGATGCAGATGACATGAAGACAATTTCACTTTTCCAAGTGGCTTTGAAGTCATGATTGAGCGCTACTCATGCATCGATCACCTTTTGCGGTTGTACCCAGTTCGAACAGCCTCCAGTTCTTTATGGGTTGCACCGTAGTTTACGGCCTCAGATCAGCGATTTCTCTTCCTGTTGGATGGTCATGTTCAGCATCGACCGCATCATGACCCAAGGGCTTGGGTTGTCCCTGTTCGTGGCTGAGGGCCAGTGGCCAGTGCTCGCAGTGTTTTTTGGGCAACCCCATCTATGTCCAGCAACTCTGAAAATCTTGGTTTACGGGATGCCCTGGCATTTCCCAGTTAACATAGGTCCTCAGAATAGCCTTTTTTGGATGAAAGTAGTGAGTGTTCCAAACCTGATTGAGGCAGGGGAAATGTCTTGGTTGGGATGCCAATTCCTACCATAATGCATATACATTCTGATTTTACCCATAAAAATGGGATAGCATCTGAACAGACATGAGCAGAGGAAGGACCAATTGAACTTTCTAGTTGGCTTATATCATAACATATATCCCAATACATCCCAGTTCACGGGTTTAAACCTTCACACCTAACTGAACTTTACTAAACAGACAATTCCAATTTAATTGGAACCATCCGCAAAATACGCTCGTTGATTGGTGATTAGTTCGGGGTTGGTTACTACGCAATTCGGAATTTTTATCCTCCGTGAACTGGAAATGCTGTGTTCTTAGCCAACCAGTATTGAACACTAATGTGGTTAAAACATGTTAAAACAATAATAAACCACCCATTTGGGAATTGTTTGTACCTCCTATTTGTGGTGAAATTGGGGGTGCTTTATTATAAGATGGTTAATTGTATGGTTGATTCTATTGTTAATTATTAATCATTAACCATATATGGTTGATTAATGCAAATGGTTAGTTCATGGAAATCAGTATTTATCAATCATATATGATTAGTTATTAATCAACAATATAATCATTATTTATGGATTTAATCAACAATATGATTATTATTAATGGATAATGAACCATATGGTATAATAAATTATTCATCATATATGAACTGATAATAACCATATATGGTTAATTGAAAATAACCATATTGATAACAATGTTATCATTATTATTATTGGTTTTATTGTTTTATCCACTACTCCAATGGATCATCCCAATAACAACGTTTCTGCGTCGTTTCTTCGCAGGACCATTACCAGCCTCGGTGGTGCCGAATATGGCGTGCTGGGGAACGTGCCGCGGCAGCGTTTGAATTTTACGTGGGATGTGTTTGGCTAATGGAATCTGTTCCACAAAGCCACAGCAAACATCAGGACACCATTGTTTTCACTTTTGATCTTGAGCGTTAGAACATCATATGAACGGCCATGCATTCACTCAATCTGTGAATCCCGTTCGGAAAAACAAACATGATGTGTTTTTATCATTTGAATGTCCTCATTTCCTGTAACGTTTTGCTTAGACCATTTCTAGGACTTAGTGTATGATAATTTTCTAGTCCGATTGGAAAAATCACCGCTGCAGGATTTTTGCCCCGATCACCGGGCAGTAAGTGACAGGCTTCATGTTGTTCGCTTTGGGAATGCCCATCTATGGGAATTGGGTACCCTCTGGTAAACTAACATAGCTATAGAAAATCACCATTTTGACCAGGTAAATTAACTACAAATAGGGTATTTTCAATAGCGAACTGTCAAATTACCGGACGGTAATTGTCTTTCGGGATGTTGAAGACAGCTCAATTAACATAGACCCTGAAAATAAACAATTTTTAGTGGAAACCAGTCTTCCAACCCCTATCTGCCAGGGTCTATGTTAGTTTAGCAGAGGGTGATTGTCCCAAAAGTTACAAAAAAAATGTTTCAAGAGACCCGGATCCAGGTGCTTTGCCTGTAAAAGGGAATACAGCCACGATTACCGGAGGCTAACAATGGTGAGTAACTAGCCAGTACATCAGCACTCTCAACCATAATTTTAGGGGCCCATATCCCAACAAACACGAGGGTTTATGTCATTTTATTTCACCATGGTTTTAGCAAAACCATAAAAGTGTCATCTCTGAACTGCACCCCCAAGAATTGGATCTCCTTCTTAAAAATGGGGATTTGACTATTCAAATTCATGTTTTTCATCAACCAAGTACCTGTAAACCTGCTGGTCAATCATCATTTTCCCCATGAAAGTGGTCATTTGTTTGTATACAACATTTTGATAGGCCCGTATCAAGCACCCTCTGGTAAACTAAGATATCTATGGAACAACATCATTTTAAATAGGTAAATCAACGAACTAAATTTCGAAATGGTTAGTTTACCAGAGGGTATATCAACATGATCAACATCAGCAGCCCCAGCGTTGCCAGGTGATTACCGCCTGTTTCCTGACTTTCTTCTCCTTCACGGTCTCTAGACCTGGTGGTCGGGATGGTCATCGGAAGGTTAAACCAACTCCACCAAGGTCTAAATGGATGTTTATGGTACATCGAACTAGTTAGTGGGATATAAATTGTAGATAACTTTGGTTAAACCACTATATCTCTAGTTCTCACTATGATTTATAAACAATTTTATATAGTGAGATGACCCCCCCCGGTTAATGGCAGAAGAAGCCTCAGAAAAACGGTTGTGTTTTCTTGATTGGACATATTGGGATATTCTGTGAGATAGAAATTGAAGATTTAGCATCTGTTTATTTCACATAGCTATGAAAGCCATGGCTTTGCTGGAAATAGATGATACACATGATGATTTGCCGAATTTAAACATGGTGATTTTCCATAGCCATAGTACATTGCCAGAGGGTAAAGGGAGAACAAGCTAATCTTGTTCTTGACATAGGAAAATCCATTGGGGATTCTCATCATCCATGAACTGGGAATCTTGTTCTTGACCAACCAGCAAGCGTGAAAATTCAGGATCAATCCATTTTTTGTTTGGGATCTATATACCATTACTGGTTGGTGCTGACTGGAACCATGGAATTCTATGACTTTCCATATATTGGGAATTTCATAATCCCAACTGACAAACTCATATTTTTCAGAGGGGTAGGTATACCACCAGCCAGATTATGTTTGGATTCCTACTATGGATTGGATGACCATAAACGATATTATGATATACAATGTTTTGACCCTAGCATATATATGAAAATCAGAAACTCATCGATAGGTTTCCTGGTCGTTGTGGATGTCCAATTCATGGACAGTCATACTGCATATAGATGTATATACCCTCTGGTAATTTAACGTAGCTATTGAACATGGCCATTAATATATAGTGTATTTTCCCATTAAAAATGGTGATTTTTCCGTAGCATTTTTTCCCATTGTTGGCTGACATGTTTGCCTTCAGAAGGGTTGGAACCGGTGATCACCAGTCCCACGGATCGGTCCCGAAAAAATGTCGTTTCGTGATGTCAAGTATAGCACCTCCCACGAAGATTCAGAAAAGCACATCCTACTAAGACTGGGATAATGGTACATTGGTACATTATTTTATATTGTTTTGTTTTGATCTCTGTTTTTGATTGTTTGTACGCATATCTTTGAAAAACACGCCTGAAAAGAAATGACACCCGAATGGTCGCCCTGTAGATTTTGTTTCATGGTTCTTCGGGTCATTTTTCCGGGTAATTTCTGCCGAAATCGTTGGATTCAAGCAATGTGTAGTGGAAATATGCGGCTGTGTCTGAGAATAGGGTATATTAATCATGGTATATCCCATTTTGCTAGGGAAATCGTGGTGGATTTTGAGGTAACCTATTTTTAGCGAAGCCCAAGCCGGCCCACACATGATTTATATGTTCTGGAGGTCAACATCTACCATAAATCCAAGACGTTTTACGTTAGCGTCAGAAACATATCCCTATGTCATATCCTAAGGTTCCAGACTCGCTTGGGTAAATCTACAGGACAAGACCTATATAACATGGCGATTCCTCTACAATTTCCCAAGAAAACCCATCCCATTTATGGTTATATTCCATTTTCGTTGGTCAACTCCTTTTTTTGTCAAATCCATATGGAGGTTTCCTAATTTTAGGGGGTACCTGCCAATCATCCAAGTTAAACCATTTGTGTATTGAAACCCATGTTGTTTTTTTGGATCCCCTATTTCAGGAAACCCCTATATGTTTGTTATATTCTGCTGATGAAAAACTCATGTTTTCGTTACTCCTATCCGTCGATCCCGGGTTACGGGTTGGTCCTGGGAGCAGTTAGACTCGAAATTTTCCAGGTCATGTACTTCTTGGACAAGGAGGTCCTGGTTCCAGTGGATTTAGCATGACAAAAATGGGATTTGGCATGCGTAACTAAGGGAAATGGGGACAAAATGGGGATTAAGTTGAACCAACATGTATCTGACTTAAATATTACTGGATAAAAACCAACAATATTATGATTTGTCTTCAGTTATGTCAAGAATGGAGATTTAAGTAATTAGGAGAAATGGTTTATCCCACGAATCGTAAGTAGGTTTGTTCACGCCAGTTATATGTGGATTAAGCCTAGTTCTTAACTAAGTTGATATAATATATACATAATAGTGGGATAGTATAGTGAAAGGACGTGTTTTGACACCTATAATGGCAGTATAACACGAATTATACTGGGTGTATTTAATGGGGATATAGTGGGATATGATGTAATCTACAGTACAATGATGATATAACCAGGTTACACGGGCTTAACCAGCAAGTGGGGGGGATTTTACGGCATGGCTTCAGCCCTTGGAAATGGGATGATGATCAATTTTTGGTGCCGAAAAAACCACCAGGCAGTAAAATGACATTGTCGCATGATCAACTCTCAACTCTCATGACATTTTTGATGGTCACCTCATGTGGGACCATTGAAAAAGCTTGAAATGCGACTAGAATCAGGGACTTGAATTTAGCAATGTGCCAGCGGGCCAGCAGAAATGTGCGTCATATGGTGATCCGCGGGCTAAACTGAATCTATGATGATTAATTTGTCAGTTGGTCACAAGTGCCAATTTCGATGGATCCGTTTCAGTCCCTCCTGAAGCCAGGCCGCTCAGTGATATTTTACTTGATGTTTTCGACCCATTGGCCCCATGCATCTACACAGCCATACAGTCCCTGGAGACATTTCGAGATTGGTTTTTATCAACCTACGATTCGAATCTACATGCTGAACTCCAATGCTGGTGGACGCGCTGCTCATATTCCGTACCGCCAAAGCTATGCAGCAGTCGCGGGCCCTATTGACCTTGACCCAACAGTCACCGACACCAACTATTGTGAGCTGAGGAATGTGACTGAGATGCGATGGGGGTTGGAATGTGATGGCAGGCCAGCCCCAAGGGTACCCTCTGGCGTCCTTAATGGCGGGCCATTGTTCCCGAAGGGGCATCGAAGATGGGTTTGTCTGAAAACCAGGGGAAAAAGCGCCTATTTTGGATGAATCCATCTCATATTCTTGGTGAAGATCACTTTGTATTCCATTATATCAGCCCCAGTATTATATCTCCACGAAACGGTTGGTGACTGTATCCCCACCATATATTTCCATCAATCATACCCCGTGATATTCGATAAACTGTGACCAAGCGAAAACATATGTTCACGTCTAAGAGGGTTAACCGCCGTAAAGCCGATTCTATACTAGCGGGCAATATTGGATCAGAGGTATCCCCTTGATATACTCATTATGATCGATGTTGATACATCCACTTTTCATCTCCATTATATTGGCATGATATCTCCATGAAAAAGTTGGGTTTACTGTACATCCCAAAACACTCCATTATATCCCAGTATGTACTAAGCAGCTATATGTTTTTTGTAGATTCCCTCTAGCAGCTCTAGCAAGTCAACACATAGATGTGGAAAACCCATCATTTGTAGATCACGTTCGGTGGAAAACATCGATATTGATTTTTCTTTATCGATTTGTTACTGTCATTTTTGTTGAATAAACGATAGGTTAACCATAACCAATCAATTGTGGAAAATCGGAAAACCATACCGAATAATCCACAAATCGGCAAAAAATCATGGCCAAAACCATATCGATGTTTCCCAATTCGTTCCATAATCTTTTCGTTATTCAAATGAGAACACGATAAGCCTTGAAACCGGAACTTTGTCCAAATTACGACGTTTTTCTGAGTTTTCTGTCGTTCGAAAACCTGATTGGAGGGTAGATCCCATGTTAGGCAAATCATTGATTTAAACGGGACCATGGCTTCCATTGTATGAATTTGATTACCATCCTGTTATTTAACATAGCTATGGAAGCCATGGCCCATTTATAGATGATTTTCCTAGTAAGACCTCCATTTATAATGGATTGTCCATAGCTATGTTAAATAGCCAGATGGTAAATGGTTTGGTGCAGTTCCAAGTGGGTTTCCATAGCCCATCCCGGCCATCCGTAGCTTGGACAGGCCGATAAGGTGGACGATGCCTTGGAGGGTTTGCCTGACAGCCCAGGGGTGTACAATGAAGAGGGCCTCAAACGAGACGGTGGCACCAGGATAGGGGATGATACTGTATGGGATGTGATTTTCATAGCTTTTTCCTTGGGGATGTCACCCACAGAAACGGGATTTTTGTTTCCATGAATCATGCAATGTGGCCCCCCCCAGTTATAAGTTGGTTCATAATCCCCAGTAACGTTATAAGATGTTGTAAGTACCATAAATCATAGTTATTGGACTTATGTTCACCAACTTAGCTATCCAACGGTGGCCAAAAACATTGTGGGTATAATTTGGATGGATTTCATGGGATGCAGTGGCTGGTTTTCAGTGGGGCCGCGACCAGCGGCCTGTTAGCTAAACGTAGCCTCTAGGTTGCGAACTTGAACATGGCCCAGTCGAAATAGTGGATTTACCCAGCTATAAAATGGAGGATCTTTCCAGTTCGTGATGTAAACGTTTACATGAGAGGGTACCATGACATTCTTCTTGCATCCCTGCATTCCAGAAATCGGAGACGTTGTCCATCATGAATCATGAATATATAATCTATAATCCAAAAATAGTCTATGAGTACCGCGAACTGGGCTATTTCATCTGTGTACATAAATTATAGTGACCTCATTATAGATGGCCCCTAGCTGAAATCATGCCCAAACCGCAGTATAATGCTATGGTTTAGGATTTAGGACATGCCAAACACTTTTCCCATACCCATATATTACAGGTATCATGGAATACTCAATGGGAATTCCAGGATCCTAAATTGGAGGTACCTACCATATATAAGGCCTATTTTTTAGGCCTATGTAAGGGAATAACCCAGCAAGATATGGCCTTATCTGGTACAGTACCTCCGTTTTAGGATCCTGGAGATCTCCCATTGAAATACATCTTACTTGCCCAAGATTTTTCTATCCATGATCCATTGAACATCCATGGAACATCCATGGATTGTTCAGACACCGCGGTGGCAAAACCCCTTGAAGCGCAGGGCTGAAGAGGTGGGACAAACGGCGGATGCGAAGAAAATGAAGAGCAGGCCCAGTCAGTTGTGTTTTTTTAGGTCAATCAGCTGGATGTGTAGAAACTAATCCGAAATAGTCTTTTGGTATCAATGGGATTATCTACTAACTAACCAGCTAAGAATTCATCATTTTTTGCAGGGTATCTAAGATTGGCTGTGGTTTTAGAAGTATCCTCTGGTAAATTGAGTCTTCAAATTCCCGGTGGGGTAATGGTTAGTTATTAGTTCGTTTTTTTTGCTACCCTTGATATGTTGGGGGTTATAATAATTCAACAGAGAACACCATAAATCTTAAGCAACCGATGAACAGTGGAAGCGAATCTCCCAATCCCGATGAATGGCAGGGTCGAACTGTTAATTTACTGGAGGCTAAAAGAATAGAATGTGACAATTAATACTTAGACTTGATGAAAGAATCCAATTGTTAGTTTTTTTTCTCCGCAACAAAAACTATTGTGGTTCTACCAAGATCTCAGAACTTTCAGAGAATGAAGGTAGATTGTATGGTAAGCTGTTAATTTCGTTTGAACTGGGTTTGTCTGAATATTTTTGCCATGGTCGGAGGAATCATTGTCAAAAGTTCTGTGACATTTCCTCTGTCGGTTGAAGGACAAATTTGGAAAAAATCATAGAACGTTTGAAACGTTTGTTTCACTTTTAAGTATTTAATGGTTATTAACTATGATTTGCTATAATGTCAACCCTGGAATAAATAAATCATGGTTTATTAATTAGGGGGGTACTCCTCCAATAGTCATAATCTAATACTTAAATGGTACCCTCCCAATTGAACAGCCGTTTCTTCGGGGTTTAGAAAAATCCAGGGTTGACATGAATCATCATTCATCCACGTAAATCCAGGGCGATGTATCATTGATTTGCTATACATGATGGTTTCTGATTCATAATAATATCCCAATAATTCCCAATATATATCTGGTAGTTTATATAGTAATAATAATATCCCGACATATCTGGTACAATGTGAGGCCCCCAAGATAGCTAAGTTGGTTTATAACTCCAATAACTATGGTTTATGGTACGCAAATAACTATAGTTACTGGGGCGAATCTAAACCAACTTATAACTGGGGGGCCTCACATTGTGGTAATAGTCATCCCTATTAAGCCATGGATTTTTCGTCTGCGAAATCGACATCGACCATGTTCCGCTGAGTCCGGTGAGTCGATCCATCCAGCGACCCGAAGCGTATAGTGGACGGACTTTAAAGCATTGAACTTAAGTTAAGGCATCCCTATAGAAATGGTAGATTTATGGATATTTATGGTTTAGGGATATGAAAACTTTGATTTTTTGTTGGTGTCCTATTATATTCCTATTCCAAGATGAAGAAAAAACATATCGATCCCTCCTTGGTCCATTTGGACCTCACCGAATTTTCGCACCGTTTTTGTCACGGAACGTGATAAATGAAGCACCGTGTATTCAGACCGTCTGTTTTAAGTACCACCAATTGCTGTGCTGAAATTACTGCGTCGGCATGTTTCTGCGATTTTTGTTTTGCATTCAAGTGCCATGTGTTCATTAAATTTGTCAGATTTATATACACGTTGTGTGTATATATATATTATACACATCTATACATACTATAATAACTGCAAATCCATATTTCCAAGATGGGGTATCGATCATGTAATCGCCATAATCTCAAGGTTCCAAGAATTCTATTTTTTGGGTGTCTCTCTCTCTATACATATCTTCCTCTGGTCATTTAAGATAGCTATGGAAAATGACCCATTTACAGATGAATCATGATGATTTACCTCTTTAAAATTGTGATTCTCCGTAGCAAACTGTGAAATAACTAGAATAACTAGAGGGTATATGCGGTGTTTCTGGATGAATCATACCGTACGAAACTCATTGATTCCCTCATCGCACCCTGTCAATATCCTTTTTGGGGACCCCTTGCAGACCTTTATGTTCTATTATTACCTATAATGTGGGGCCCAAAAGTTTCGGCCAGCACTTGTGCTATGCCCCAAACTCTTTTGGAATGATTGTCGGGAAACTCATTTTTGGTGACCATTACGGTACTTTGTGGCCTTCACGTCGCTTTGTGAGTGACGCGATTGATGACCCTTTGCGGGGATTCGGCTGAAATCCTTTAATCTTTCTACTGCTTTCAATACTTTTTACATAAACTCTAAAGAGAACCTAGAAAAACCCTACTAGGAAAAAACCCTAAAGAAACCCTCAATGAACCCTAAAGAAACCCTGACAAAAACCATATGAAAGTGTATATATAGCGAAGTACCTGTGGGGCGCAGCGTACGGCGGGAAAAGGTTGTGCCCTTCCAGAAACCATAGAATTTGCCTAGTTGGCTCACCCTAAACATGGAGATTATAACACTTTTAGAGCCCCCCCCATGCCCCCAAAGAAAGATGCAGAGATGTTTATAAATTTAGAAATGGAGCATTTAGACCCGAATTAGCTCGGTTCTCTTCTTCGGGATGGATAGCCTCCAGTATATCATGGTATGCCCATATTGTAGCCTGCCGTTCGCATGGATCCCCAAGATTTTGTGCCCCATTTCTTGCCAGATTCGAGCCATGTTTCAGGAAGAAGGTGGCGATGCGAGCAACGGTGCTGGCGTAGAGCTGAGCAACAAATAAGGGGTGTTCAAAAACGAGCACCAAATGGAGCAGTATCCGCAACGTATCCATATGAGCTGAATGTGTCATACATCAATCCATTGAACCCATTAACTAATGGTTGGAACCCCCAGGGGGCTGGATGACTATAAACCATGGGCTTCCATCTTTTGCCCATGGTACAGTTGAAACATGTTGAAGCTACGCATAGAGTTCTCCAATGTTGTCCAACTACAATGCTGAGAGGATAAAGCAGTGCTTTTGCCTGGCTCATTTTGGGATACCCTCTGGTAACAGTTTGCTATGGAAAAATCATGTTTTCAAATGGGAAAATCAAGTAGAGATGGCCATTTTCCATAGCTATGTTAAATTACCAGAGGGACCAAGTGTGACAGCTACGTTGTAGCCATTTTCAGCCACAAGCTGCCAGCTTAGCCAACTTGGCGCCGGGACCCTGTGGGTCACCCCGGTCACCCCCCACCCAAAAAGCTGTGCAATGGTTGAGTTGCTCAGCTGCAAAATTTGTGGCCGAAACATGCCGAAACCTAGGACGCGGAGGTTCAGTACTCGAATCTTTCGGTGTTCGGTACTCTACCCTGGTAATTTAACATAGCTATTGAAAATGGCCATTTGAATTGGATTTACCCATTAAAAATTGTGATTTTCCATAGTTATGTCCAATGTAAACGTTTACCAGAGGGTAACCATCATTCACCATTATTTGGAGGTTTCCGTTTTGTCATGGTACCCCAGCCATCATCCAGTCGTTCATGGATGACAATTATTTTAGTATATTTTAGTATTATTTTCCATGGTGAGGACTTGGGGATCCTCTCTATTTGAAGAACCCCCCATTTGGATGTTTCCGGGGAAATTTCGAAATGTTTCTTTTTTTCCCTTCCCCCGGTCACATGGTTTCGAGTTTCGGACATTCCATGTTTTTTTAGAGGCCAGCCTCTCAAAGGAAAGAGGCTGGCTGTGCACCACATGATGAATTCTTCATGGGCACCGACCACCAAAAAGCCCCAGATCAAAGGTACGGCGAGCATAAGCGCCACATGACACCAATAGATGGTCAAGATTAGTGCTTGTTGATCTTGAAGCCCCATCCAGAAAGCCGTCAGAAAATACGACGTGGAGTTCTTTGAAAATTCGACGTGGTGCCATCAAACATCATCCAACTGTCTAACTGTGGGTAAAGAAAAGTCACGACCTCACGTCGTGACCTCACGAAATGACCAGCTTATTTCATAAATTGAGCTTCGTGAAATTTCAAATTTGACCCGCATCCTCACCATTTCTCCATTCCGACAGAAAAACCGGCAAGCTGCTCCTCGCATCGCTGGAAGCTCCAGGTTTACCTTCGAGCAAATTGGCGGTCGTTGCAAACTCGTCACCGGACCAGCCATGGTTCGATGTTCGGAGGAGGCCGGTCTTGGGGGCAGGAGCTCAGGAGCTGCCGTTGAAGCCAACAAACATATGGAGGAGATAGGAGACATGTGGATATCATTGGGGATACAATGATGAGTGCAAACCCAAGCCTTCCAAAAACCTGATGTTTTTCACATATATACATATATATATACATATATATATATGGATACATATATATATATATCAATATTATATATATATATTGAGGTCTCTTAAAATGGGGGATCCTCAAGTCATCATTTGTTTCAAATTACTAAACTGGTCTAAGTTTGGATGATATTGGGGTACCTCCATTTCAGGAAACCTTCATGTAATGGTATATATCACCAACTTCATAGGATTTGTGGGTGTGGGGTGTAGCCTCAAATGGCTTTTTTTTCAGAAAAACTCCATGGATAAACCCACGTGGAGCCACTGGTGGACGGGCTCCCCCAGTTGATTTTTTTGGTGATAATAAACCCTATTAGAACTGCATTTGTGATAATAAACCTCATTAACTATCCAGTTGTAAGTTGTTGTTTTTTGGGCTTCCCACTTTTTTTGGCTGTTTTTTAACCACTATGTATTAACATACGTTAATATTTGAAGTAGTTCGATATGTCATAAAGCCTCCTTATTGGAGTGATCCAACTTAGCTACAAGTCGCACCTCAGTGGAGATCCCGTCGAAACCAAAAAAGGGGTGCCTGAACCAGAGGTTTATCATGGGACCAACTCTTTAGGGTTTAAGTTTAGGGTTTCATTTTTTAAAAATCAGGTTTACAAAACGTTTTAATACGATTTTACTTTCAAGGTTTCCTTCGGGTTTCATGTCATTTTTAGGGTTTTAGGGTTTTAGGGTTCTTCGATGTTAGGGTATGTGTTTTGGGGTTCCAAGTCTCCTCAGCCGTCGATTTCACCGACATACCGACAGCACCGCCGTCCTGGCCGCATAGTTGTAGTTAATTGTAACCACCATCAACCCAGCACTTAAACTGGTTGGAATGGTTATACTGTAATCACCAAACAAATCCAACAGTTATAATATGTTATAATCATCTAGCTATGGTTTAACAATTCAATGAACATCACGGTACAATTGTCACAATGATAACAGCCATAAACTCAGCAGTTCTCATCACCCATTCCACCTTTAAAAAAAGCCTTGGCCCGGTGGTCAAACCAATTTAGCTATCGTTTTTAGATGGATACACAGCTACATGGGTATGGACCAATACCTATTAATACCATTTTTAGGGGGATGACCATCCATTTCCCAGCTATTTTGGGGTTCACTAGGTACCAGGGTTTTGACCCACTGCTACATAAATTGATGTTGTTTTTTTGTTTTTCCTGGGCCGAAAAATTGTACGGGATGATCCACGAAAGAGGATTGAATGGAACATTCTATAATATCCATGATAGTTATAATCCCATGGAACGGGAAGACCATAAACTATCATAAACCACAGACCATGTTTTGACCATAGCACAGGTTTTAACCATAAACCATATTCCATACGCCATGAACCATACGCATGAACCATACGCATGTACAGATCCCTGAAATTCCGGCGTTGACCGTGCACAATATTTTTTAAAAATAATGAGGATTCCCAGATATCATGTCTTCCCATACTCCATCTCTGGGATTTTATCTCTGGGAATTTGTGGATTAAAATAGTGCCATTTAGGGATATAATGAAAATCTACTAGTGGATAACATCTGGCATTAAAAAGAAAAAACACGTGGTTTTCCCATAATCAATAGGATTTTATTGTGAATAAGGGAATTATTATTCTATAACATTCTATATTTCAGGACTATTCCCATGGTTTCCCATACTCATAGCTATAGCGGACCAGTCTCATGGTTTTCCCATAATCTGGCATGAATATTTCTCTTATACCAATGGTTTTCCAATGACCCATCGGCACTATATCCACTATGGTAGAACATGGTATATGGAATTAAGGTTCTACATGGTTTTTCCCTTGTTTTCCACTTTAGTATTTTGCTTTAAGATTTATAGAAAAGTGTGATTTGGGAAACATGTTTTTTTTTTCCATGGTTTTCCTATTATTATACCTATGGTGTACGAATCCTATTGAATAATGTTTTCCCGTGATCCTATGATAATTCCAATGGTTTTCCCATCATTATCCCATAATTCATGATAGAAATCCACTCGTTATGAATGGGAAAACGATCAATTGTCAAAAATTCATGATAGAAATCCCATTGTTTTCCCATGAATTTTATGATTTTCCCAGGCTTTTCCCATGGTTTTCCTCTAAGTTTCCGGCAGGAGATGGAGGCATGGAGGGCCATTCGCGAAGCTAAAGCCACAGAGGAAACCATGGGGAGATCATGGTGAGATAGGGGGAAGGATAGGAAAACTATGGAAAAACACGAGGAAAGCTATGGGTTTTATCAGGAAACATATATGGAAACATGGGGGTGTCATGGGTTTTTTTGAGGGGATACACCCTCTGGCAATCAAACTTGGCAATGGAACATATATATATATATATACCTTTCCCATTAAGACCCCTATTTACAGGGATTTTCAATTGCCATGTTCGATTACCGTAGGCTAATGTCCACCTTCAAAGGCTTTGAGTTCTCTGTCAGTGTAACAGGGTGAATTTGAAGTAGTGTGGGAACATGCTGCAACCGATGGTGTTGTCACCAGATTTTCTTCGCCGCGATGCTACTAGGCATGCGAGTGGTTGCGTCCATGTGTCCTTTTTGAGGGCGGATGTCGTGGCTCAATTATTCCCCCCTGTCATAGTGACCCCCAAGGAGCAGTTGAAAGAGGCAAAGCGACAGCACCGTTTGCAGAAGGTGGCGGCCAACGGTGGTACCACAGGGAGCATGATGTGTTGCCAAATAACCAGGTCTTGTAAATAAACATGGTTGGAAAAGTCCCGCGTTGGTATCTGCCGAATCAAGATCGGGATGTCCCATCACCATCTTCACTTTCTTATGCTACTATGGGATTCATGTTTCATCAGATGAGCCGCCAACGAAAGACCGGGTCGGATGAAAACCGGAAAGTGACCTTTCGAAGCGTACCGTATGCTTTGGTGAAAGATACTGTAGTATAAAACATGATAGAATCCCCAAAAGTTGCCCCTGAAAGATGGATGTCACTAGATAAAGGAAACAATAACCTTGTGACATTTCTCCTTTAAAGTGGAATTTCTCCAATGGAATTTCTGCGCACAAAAAAAACGAAATCTCCATGGGGGGATCAAGGCCTGTCCTGCCTTTGGTTTATTGATGGATATTGATGGATTGTTATGGCACCATTTAGGTGAAGAAAAACATGGTGGACGTCATGATTGGATCCCAAAGGCGAGAAGATTCTCTGAAAATCTCGAAGAAAAGGAAACGAGCAACAGTTTTCCTTCCAGTGACGAAGTTCCGGCGCTTTTTTTGCCTCAGGAGAAGAATAAGGTGCGAGACTTTTTGGCCAAAAATCACTTCGACGCCGAGGATGTGAATGCTCCCAAAGTTAGCATGTGTGGCCTGGTTTTGGATGCTGGCACTGGGTGACCAGCTTGGGATGAACTAGGGATATTTGGGCGAAGCGCAAATCAATTCGCAAGCCGATTGACCCATGGAAAACATTGGTTAATACATTCGCCAAAGAAAATTCGCCGGTTTTACAGAGGTGGTTTTATCATGTTTTATCTACTTCTGTATGGTTAGCCCATTTCCAACAAGAATCGGTACGGGACTTTGAAGCTGCCACCAGACACACCGGTGAAACCACCAGACGAGGGGGTTGCTCCCCAGCTTGTTGGTATAACTGAGGGCTGCTCAACTAGCCTTGTAGGTTGATGATTGGTTCGGGGATTCTTTTCTACCTTCTCTGGTTGGTGGTTTTGATGACTTTCCATATCTTGGGAATTTCATCATCCCAACTGACGAACTCACTCCATCATTTTTCGGTCAACCACCAACCAGTTATATTCACTACGCGCCCTAGAATTCGAATCGTCTAGTACTTCACGGTTGATGACATTTCGGGATTTCGAACACTGCTCAACTACCGAAAGGGAGAAGAGAAGTTGGTGGTACCTCCCTGCCTCCATGGATCTGCACCTATAGACACATGCACATGAATAATGATGCATGAATGAAAGAAACAAATCAAAAAACCAAATACGCATAGATAACTATGATATGCATTCATACAAAGAGAATTCATAATATATATATACATACATAAGACGCGCACACACACATATATATATATATACACAATACAATATATAATATATAATATATGATATTTAAAATATAAACTATAAAATATAAAATATAGACTACAAAATATAAATTTAATATAATAAATAATATGATGTATAGATAATGTAACATAAAATTTTCAATATAAACTATAAAATATAAAATAAATGAGATAAAATATTTAGTATACAATATATAATATATTTTTAATATACACTATAAAATGAAAATATATGATATAAAATTCAAAATATACTATATAATAGATATTTTAATATAAACTATAAAATATATAATGTATAATTTTCAAAATAAACTATGACTATGATATATGAAATAAATAAGATACAATATAATATATACATATATGTATTGTATTTTTTGATGTTTATATGTAATATAAAATAATATAATATAATATAATATTATATTATGTAATAGATAATAGATAATACATTATATATAATATATGATATATAATATAAAATATTTAATATAGAGTATAAAATATATAATATATAATATATGATATATAATTTATTTATATAATATATAATATATAATTTACTATTGATCATATTTAATTGATAATATATAATTTACTATTGATCATATATAATTGATGACATATAATATATAATATATTTTACATAATAGATAATATATGATATATAATATCTAATATTTAATATATAATATATAATCTATATAACATAGAACATATAACATATAACATATAATTTGATATATAATGTATAATATAATACAATTTAATGAATAATGTATAATATATAATATAATATATATTATGTATAATGTTTAATGTACAATGTTTAATGAATAATGTATAATATATAATGTATAATGTTTAATGTATAATGTATAATGAATAATGTATAATGTATAATATATAATATTTAATTTAATATATGATATATACTATATATAATATATAATATATAATACATTTTATATAATATGTAACTTTCAATATAAACTAGAAAATAAATACATGAGATAATATATATACTATATAGTATATAATATAATTTTATTTTTTGATATAATCTTGAAAATATAGAATAAATGAGATAATATATTTAATATATAGTATATAATAAATAATATATAATCTTTAATATAAACTCGAAATATAGGATAAATGAGTTAATATTATATATATATATATATCATATAGAATACAAATTACAAAGAACATGAATAGATCACTGGGTGAAGTCACCACACTGACCTTAGTACCGAGGTGGCATGATGCGATCCTACCCACTCCACCAGGTGCTGGACCTCGGGGGTCCCAGTTCTGGATCAACTTTTTGTTTTTTTTTCGGGGGATATAACTGGGTCAACCATTAAAACATAGTGGTTAATCACTGGTCAATAATGATTAATCAATAGTTAGTAATGGTTAATAATGGTTAGAAAATGTTTTTTTGGTCCAACTAAGAGTTATTTTTTATAGGATTCCCTCTGGTAAACGTTTACATAGCTGTTTATCAATCACCATTTTTTATGGGTAAAACAAAACTGTAAATGGCCATGTTCAATAGCGAACTGTTTGTTTACCAGAGGGTAAATAGTGTTAGAATCATCAACCCTGTAAAATACTGGTTGTTCATGGGAATATCATGGGGATATCATGGGAGTAGAATGGGAATATAAGGAATATAAGGAATATAGTTACCCGACTCTAACTATACGTACACTTATACCCAGAAACCATAGAATCTGGTTGAATTACATATAGTCAATGGCCATTTCAGGATCCTAAATTGGAGGTACCTACCATATATAAGGCCTATTTTTTAGGCCTGAATTTCAGGGGAGATCCCCACAAAATATGGCCAAACATATATAACTAACGTATCTCCATCTATTGGATCCTGGAATCTCCATTGATTTGGGTCGAAGCTTCATCCATATCTTCCAGGGCAAATATTCCCAGCCCCTGATTTTTTTTTGCTTTTGGATACCCTCCGGTAAACGTTTACATAGCTATAGAAAATCACAATTTTTAATGGGAAAATCAACTATAAATGTGGTATTTTCAATAGCTATGTTAAATTACCAGAGGGTAATAGCAATCTATTGAATCTATTGTGAAAAAAAGCATCTGAAGTTAAATGAGGCAGGGGAGCCGGGGACCATTTTTTCATCTTTTTGGAGATCAATGACCTAACCAGCCAGGAGCATCTCATGTTTTGGTCAGTTAAGTCATGGGCGAAGCGGGTAGGTACCCGCCCGGTGATCATCCGAATTTTTTCTTGGGATTTTTTAACCATGAAATAAACCATCCAGCTACAAAGTGAGGCCCCCGTTAGATAGCTAAGTTGGTTTATAACTCCAATAACTTGGTTTATGGTACGCAAGTAACTATAGTTACTGGGGTTTATAAACCAATTTATAACTGGGGGGCCCACATTGTATGATCCATGACTATAAAACATTTTCTCAAAGCCCCCCGAGAAAAACATGTGATGATGCTGTTTGGATGAGCAAGGACCTATGTAGACTACTGATATATTGGGCGGGTTAATGATGCATTTTTTTTTTTGTGGGGGGATGCTTATACATAATATACTCTTACAGCAATAGCTTGCTGTTCTGTTGCATTACATTTTGCGTTTGTTATATACCGGCATTTTAAAAGTACCCAACACGTTACTAAAACGTGGCCTGAGCTCTTCACTCTGAGAGGCAGCCTTCCCCCAGAATCCCTCTTTGAATATTGGATTTTGATTTTAGTCTCCGTTATAAACCGCTCTCGTGGCTATGGCTAGTTCAATGTTGACTCTAAGCTGAAGGCAATCTATGTTGGCTCGTTCAATGGTTCATTTTTTTTTGGTGGGGTAGTTATGTACTTGGGGTGCAGTTTTTCGGTTAGATAGTAATGCCAATAACTTTTTTTTTTTAATAACCCCCCAAAAGCTGGGATACACATCCTATAACTATGGTGAAATCCATATATATATATATATTATATTATATATATATATATTTATACATATATATATATATATATATATATCCACTTTTAGCTGAAACTGCACTTCCCTATGTACTTCCCATAGATTTATAAATTGTTTGTGATCACCCTCCGCTTAGGCAAAACATGTGGGTTCCACAGCCTCTAGGTCACCCTCTGAGATTTCATGGATGTTTTTGAAAAACGCTGACGACCAAGCAGTAACAAGTTTTAATCAATGGTGATATGGAATGGTAGTGATGGTTTATAATGATAATATTATACATGGTTCAAATTCATTATATTGTATTGGTGCAGAATCATGTAAACTGGCCATTTCAGGTTCCCATATATTTTTGGGCTATTTTTTAGGCCTAAATTTCAGGGAAGATTCGGAAGATCCATATGGCCAACAATATGGTACAGTCAGTACCTATGATCGAATGAGGGCTTAGTTACCATTAGCTCACCTCAAAGGGTGAAGTCCTCCAATGATGGCTTAGTGTAGCCAACAAAAAAGCCATCGAGCAGGGCGTGCAGGGCGGCCATCGCCATAAAAAAAGTGGAAGGTTGATGGTAAACATTGGTAAACAGACTGATGAAAAAACAGAATCCGGTCATCAGCTCCATGACTTGCTGGACAATTCCACAAAATTGTAGAAGATTTGATCGCGTTTTAACCTTTCTTACATCCATTTATAGAGAATCTAAGGTTGGCCAGGTACGCACAGTTCTCAAAGTCCATCTGTCTCTGTATGCGTGTGTGTGTGTGTGTCTGCAGTGTTTTCATCCACCTTCCGTGTCCCTTCCGAAAGGTTCAGACGACGGCTATTTTATGGCTCTTGATATGGGGATACAATGCTTACTATATTTACATGAAACATTTATTATAGCAACTACGGATGTGCAACTATTGATCGCTATTGATATCATGTGTTCTTGTTTGTTTCTTTCGCAACTTGACATGAAAGTAGCAAAGTGGTACAAGGCCTGGGCGGAGACGTGATGTTTGGATATGTTTGGTGCTTTGCAAGTTGATATATCTACCACAACCCATAGTTAACCTAGGCAAACAAGGCAACTTAGCTAAGTAGGGGGCCCATTTTGTACATTTATCCACCAAGAATTGGGATTTAGAATCAACATATCATAGCATATCGTTGACACGTTGGTTTATAATGTTTATAGGCTGAGTGTTGGATTATGATCGAGCCATCTATAGATATACCAACAATAACATGGGGGGGTGACATGTAGACCGCACTTCAGGCCGCGAAAGAGCGCGATTGGGCAATTATCAACCTTCTTCTGAAGTGTCCCGGATATGCGGCCTATGCTGTGCATGGAACTGGGAATAACTGAAGTATCCGAGTTTTTTTTTTCCGGGAATACTTCAGATGAATAGACAGGCAAGATTTAATTCCAATCGCTTCTTTAGTGTGCCAAATTTCTCGATTCAAAACTTGGTCATTCCATGAAGTCAGATTTTTCGCGAGTTTGCGGTAACCATGAGTAACCTATAATTTCAATCAGAACTTGGGGTAACTTGGGGTAACTGCAGTAATTTCACACATTCCAATCACCGGTATCCAGCAATAAATTGGGGATTCCAAGCTTTGATCATCCAAAAAAAGTCACTGGCATCGATCCGTGGGGAAAATCAGCCAATTTCTAAAGGGGTTTCTTTTCTACAATGTGAGGCCCCCGTTAGATAGCTAAGTTGGTGGGTTTATAACTCCAATTTCACTATGGTTTATGGTACGCAAATAACTAGTTACTGGGGCGAATCTAAACCAACTAGCACTGGGGGGGCACATTGTACCAACGGAGAATGGCAAAAATTGGCTTTCTTATGATTTCTACGAAGGTTGACAAAAGTTGGTTCGCAAAGGGTTATCACAATTTATCATAGCTATCCGCCAGCCCCACAGCAGAAGCTGACCGCGGGATTGGGGGATAGCTATCCCGAAATGACTGAACTTTTCACTGGGGGCCGGAGTCTGGAAGATCCAAGTGTTTTCATGTTGGTGTCTGAATTTATTCGTGAAGATTGGGAAAAGTCAAACTATGGAAAATCACCGTGCTATTAATGGGTGAATCAACTATTTAACTATGGCCATTTTCAATAGCTTTTTGTATGTTAAAAGCTGAACTGATCAGTGAATTCCTAGAATGAACAGCAACCAAACGAAACACATCCTACCTTCGGAGTCGAAGTTGAACACCTATTGCGCCAAGTGGAAGAAGTGCTCGAATGATGCTGGGTTTGTTCGGTGTGATGATTAGTTGGGTGCAATAATTTCTATAAACGACAACATTTGTCCGTTACAAGGGATAGTATATATATATATATATTCACAAAGGATATGGTAGGGAGTTGCCAAACCAATGGTGAGAACCCTGTCTCGAAGTTTCAAAATGGTGTCCTTGTCCCCGACAAGCAAAAGGATAATGGTGTTGATGTCCCTGACAATCTATCAAATGGTTTCCTATGAGGCGCCCTGCACCAAATGACCGGCCGCAACCTTTTCCAATGGCTGCAAGTGAATGATCCCACCCGCCAACAGGCACAACCTGAGCCTTACCCCTTCTGGCTGCAGTGGACATATGGAAGATCCTGGATTGCATGCGGGCCCCGCCCCTTCGTAGGCGAGAGGGCGGGCCTTCGGGGCACGCCCTCTGCGGCCGAATTTTAGAGCCTTAAACGCCTGGGCGAAGTACAATTTGGGGTAGGGTAGGATAGGGGCCGGGGGGGCCTAAAGGGGCATGCGCCCCAGGGTTATGGTTTGTTGCTAACGTAGAATGGTCCGACGGATCTGGTTACTGTATGGGGTCACCAACAACAAAAGGAAATGATTGATTATGAAGTAAGAATCCTCTGGAAAGGGCAAAGGAGTTCAGTGACTTCGGGTCTTTTGTGTTTCAATGAGTTGACGTTTGGATCCCTTTTTGAATTCGTTGGCTTTACAGCTGTTCTGGTATCCTCCGAAAATAATGGATTCAAAGGGCTTTGTAATGTTACCCTTTGTGTTTCTTCCAGCTTCCGGGGTTTGGTCCAATCCAGCGAGTTCACGGCATGTCACCACATGAAGCACATCGCAGCTTTTGGCTAATTCGTTTGTTCTCGCCCCGGTTTTTCGTTGTTCTCAGTATGACCACCTTTGCCGTTGTCGTGTGCAGCAGCATCACGTTGCTGCAAATGCTGGAGCCGAGGGCCCTCTGGATGTTGCAGGCCAGGGTGAACTTTAAAGGGGTCGAAAAGTTTTTTAGTTGTTGTTTACAGGACAAAGCTTTAAAGTTAGTTTCAGAAATGTTTTTCTTCTGGTTGTGACGTCAACCCTGTTTGAGGTTGCTCTCGGGCACCATAGACTTCCGGGGCCCTTTCGGTTCCTGGCCCGGCTAGGTTTTTTCAACCTGCCGCACGATGCTGTGCCTTGGCGTTTTTGATGATGCTTTTTGTATGGTTTTGTTTCGGTTGGGTCTTTTCTTTTTTGTTGCAAGGGGATATGTATGGATTATCCCTGCATTCAGTTGTAAGCATTTCGATTCCAAGACGTTGCTATGCATAATGATTGGTGCTGAGAATGTTTCCATTGACGTGTGGGGTTTTTGTTTTTAGTTCTGTATCCGC